AAACATTCCTATTTTGAAAAGCTTTGCTGAAAACTGTTTACAGTGCACCTTTTGCTTCGAGCATGTGAAGCCCGGGATTGTACTTACTGCATTTTTTATGAGGGCAGCATGGATCTTCTAGTGTTGTTACTAAGACAGGCACATAGCCTTCATCAATACAGGGCACCGGGGCAGGTGTTGCACATGTCTTTGGTTTGCACTGCACTGTCAGAGAATATTTCTCACAAGTGCACTCCTGGCAGTTGCTGTTCCAAACTGATCCGGGCTGTGGGGGGAAAGTGAAAAATGTTAGCTTGCACTTCCTTTTTTGGGGGGTGCTTCTTTGGTAATCTTCAGAACTGGGGGCTCATGAATCCCCTCCCCCATGGTAAGAAGCATGATCTCCAGACGTGGGGACAGCTCACACACTTATCCGCAGGGCAGAGAATGACACCCGGTTTGGAAGGTCAAGTCACCCACATTTCCTGGCCCTCCCTTTCAAAATACACCTAGCCATGCCCTTCTTGCTCAAGAGTCCCATCACATGCTGAAGGTAAGTCTTGACTATGTTCATGCCTTCTAGATAAAAGTTGTCAAAACCTTATTCAATGTGAACCTATGTTAGATTCTAAAGACCGTCTTATGTGGTGATGATGCACCAAGTGATGTGCACGTATCATTACCACAAGGGTAACCTTGTACTGCTCCGTGTAAGCTGCAGCAGTATTCAAATAGATTGCCTGCAATGTAGATTTGAAACAGTATAAATGGCTCTACAAAACCTCTAGGCTATAGAGGTGCCTTTTACCACCCTACCCAGGTCATGCCATCTCTTCTGCTAGCTTTATAACAGCATGACAGTGTCTCTGCTGCTGATGGTGACTTCTGGAGGAGGAGGAGGAGGAGATTGGATTTATACCCCGCCCTTCACTACCCAAAGGTGTCTCAGAGCGGCTTACAAACTCCTTTCCCTTCCCCTCCCCATAACAGACACCCTGTGAGGTAGAAGAAGAAGAAGAGATTGGATTTGTACCCCGCCCTTCACTACCCAAAGGTGTCTCAGAGCGGCTTACAAACTCCTTTCCCTTCCCCTCCCCACAACAGACACCCTGTGAGGTAGGTGGGGCTGAGAGAGCTCTTAACAGAAACGGCTCTTTTTCAAGAACAGCTTTTATCAGAACTACGACTTGCTCAAGGTCACCCAGCCAGGTGCAAGTGGAGGAGTGGGGAATCAATCCCGGTTCTCCCAGATTAGAGTCCGTGCACTTAACTACTACACCAAACTGGCTCTAGTTGCACAGTGGCAACAGCAACCCTCACAACTGCATCAGTGCAGGCTGTGCTGGATGGCCTTACAGCACTAGCAGAATACACCGCGTTGGGATTTGTCTATTCATTATTTTATTTCATTTTTTAAAATTTATTTATTATATTTCTACCCCACCCTCCCCATGAACGGGCTCAGGGCGGCTCACAAAAAAGGGCACCATGTGCCAATATAAAACAGCAAAACACCTAAAACACCTAAAAACAACCATTATCAAAATAAAGTGCCCAGCGGTGTTCTTAAAGCATTCAGTCAGAGCAAGATGGTAGCTTGTGGATGAAGCTACGAGCCCGATTCGGTGGTATGGTCAGTCGAAGCACTGTGGCTCGATCTTGTAATGGGGCATCCCAATACCCCATGTTCCCATGAGGTAGTTGGTGGCGGCGGCGGCGGCAGCTCCTAATTGAAACCCTGGCGGAAGAGCTCCGTCTTGCAGGCCCTGCGGAACTGTGAGAGGTCCTACAGGGCCGTGATCTCCTCTAGGAGCTCGTTCTACCAGGTAGGAGCCGCCACTGAGAAGGCCCTGGCCCTGGTTGCCACAAGCCTGGCCTCCCTGGGGCCTGGAATCATTAATCGATGTTGTGCCCCAGACCGTAGTGCTCTCTGGGGTATATGTGGGGAAAGGCGGTCCCTCAGGTATGTCGGACCCTGGCCATATAGGGCTTTAAAGGTAAGTACCAGCACTTTGATGCGAATTCCCCATATCAGGTACTTAAAATACCCCATATTAAGTACTTATTTACTGATCAGTCCTATGACTTGGTTGCAAGAAAGTTATTCTAGGATCACAAAAAAGTACTTTTTCCCAAATAATAAAAATGGCAAATGACAGTTTAAAAATCCTCTCCATGTTGCAAAGTACTTGGGAGGGGGAAAATTCGATTTTAATGAAGCTCCAAACATGGCTTGAGCTCACTCATCTACATTTCTGAAGTATAATCATATCGATACTTACTGCTTTGGGCATCCCATCTGGTCCCACGCAAGCTGTAAGAGATAAAAGGATGCCAATTTTTGTGTTATTGCCATTAAAGAATTGTGGAGCTAATACAACCAGCTTAAAGAGCAGGCCTATGGAAGCACTCTAAAATCTGACATAGTTATTGTTTCCAGAGTATATAAACAGAAGTTGGAAGGATTAGAAACTGAGCTATAAAAGGAAGCTTTGCAGCCATGGAAATTAGTTCTGAAGGCTTCATGCTTTCATAATAACAAAAGTTTATCTGTCTAGAAAACCTCCAATCCATAGCCTTCTGGAAATTTGGGAAAGGCTGCCGTAACCATGCAGCACTGCAGCGGCAGCCACTCGATGAGTGAACACTTTGTAGAGTACTGTTATGATGGAATGCCTGTTCCATTACAGCAAACTACATATTTTGGCTGATTTCGCACTAGAGCTGCCTCAATGTTACGCCGCCGTTTGCCTTTGTCCCGATACTATTGGTCAATTTCACACCTGAAGCTGCGGGGCTGCATTCTGACTCGCGACTTCGCCTGATTTCCCCCGCAGTTTTGTGATCCTGTTTTTTGAGGATCATGAAACTGCGGAGGAAATCGGGCAAAGCCGCGGGTCAAATGCAGCCCCCCGGCTTCAGGTGTGAAATTGACCGATGGTATCGGGGCAAACGGCGGCGCAACATCAAGGCAGCTCTAGTGCGAAATCAGCCTTTGACACTTCTTGCATGTCATTTGTATAAACAGTACAAAAACATCCTTCTTGAAAACTTCAAATGTTCCTCTGCATTCTATAGCACTCTCCTTTATTTTACCGTCCTGTTTAGTAGGACAGTTAACTGATGTCCAATGCATTTTACCCTTGCTTTGTGGCAGAATTGCAGTCGAAGTTGGACTTCCAGTGTTGGTTACTGGAAATCATATCCCCTTTGGGTATCTGCAAATTGCTGTACCCGAGATGGCCTCAGCAGCCCACTGCCACTGCCACCCTAAGCATGGTCAGTAAAGGTAAAGGTTTCCCTTGCTCGAAAGCCAGTCGAATCTGACTCTAGGGATGCGGTGCTCATCTCCGTTTCCAAGCCGAAGAGCCAGCGCTGTCCGAAGACGTTTCCGTGGTCATTTGGCCGGCATGACTAGACGCCGAGGTGCACGGAACACTGTTACCTTCCCACTTTCTTGGTGCTTGGGGGGGGGTCAACAGTGGGAGGGCTTCTAATGTCCTGGCCCCACTGGTGGACCTCCTGATGGCACCTGGTATTTCTGTTGGGCTAGATGGGCCTTTGGCCTGATCCAACATTGACGTCTCTTATGTTCTTATGAAGTGGCACCTATTTATCTACTTGCAATTTCTTGCTTTCGAACTGCTAGGTTGGCAAAAGCTGGAACTAGAGACGGGAGCTCACTCTGTCATGTGGCACTCGGGTCTCGAACTGCTGAACTACCGGCCTTCCAGTCTGCAGTTCATCCTCTTAGCCACTTGAGCCACCGCAGCCCCTAAGCAGAGTTACCCGCTTCTGAGTCCATTGATACTCATTGAGCAGGCAGAGGTGATGTGGAAGACCAATAACTACAATCCTGGGGAGCCACACTGCCAGTCAGAATAGATAATACTGCCCTTGAAAGACCAATGGGCTGATTCCGCATAAAACAGCTTCATGTATTCCCGTGAATTCAAGGGGCTTAGAAGGGTGTAACTCCGCCTAGGATTGTACTATAATTTGCTGACTGTCCAAGAATCTTCCATCCCATACAATACTGCTGAGCTGTTCTAGCCACTTCTACCTTACATAAGAATACTCACAGCATTCACGGACACAAACATTGCTGTAGGTGTTAAAGAGCTTGGTTCCCGTAGGGCAGTAGCAACCTTCAGTTATACCTTCACCACTATGCTGAATAGCCCTATGGAAAAGAAGCATACATTAGAACAGTTCCACGCCCTGGCAACATGAATATCCAGTATCTGTTATGATAATGCGTAAAGGGAGGGGGAGCCAGGCCATTTCAAAAAGCGGTAGTAATTAACGAAGTGGAGAACAATTCCAGAAATCCAATAACTTTTAATGCAGGAGGAATCTTAATAATATTGTTAGATAGATATTCCTTACTTATTCCTAGCTCAGCCTTCTTTCAAGCAGCGCAGGGCACACTTCATACACACAGTGATCACATTTTATCCTCACAATATCTGTGTGATGTAATTAGACTGAAAGGGCATTATTGGCCCAAGGTAACCAAGTATGCTTGATGGCCAAGCAGAAACTTGAACCCAAGCCTCCTCAGTGCAAATCCATCACATTATCACCCACATAACAATGGTTACGCCAATAATAGTATGCCAGTAATAGTAATAATGATAAGAAGAAGAATTGAAGGGCTGTCATGTAGACAATGGAGCAGATCTATTCTCTCTTGCTCCGGATTGCAAGACTAGATCTAATGGGTGGAAATTACAAGGGAGTCGATACCGGCTAAATATCAGGAGAAACTTCCTAACTGCAAGAGTGGTTGAGCAGTGGAAAAGACTGCCTCGGGAGGTGGCGGATGCTCCTTCGCTGGACATTTTCAAGCAGAGGCTGGACGACCATCCTTCGGGTATGTTGTAGGACACTATCTTTCAGCTATGCTCCTGCAGAGTGCAGGGGGTTGGACTAGATGACCTGCAAGATCCCTTCCAACTCTAACATTCTATGATTCTAAGAAGAAGAAATACAGAATTAAACAGCTTTTATATTTTTCCTTACTTTGTGTCACAGGTTGCAGGGTTGAGAGGGCCACATGGTTCATATACTTTTCCTTTAGGACAGGTGAATGCTGTAAATGATAAGAAAAATAGATAAAGGTAAACATAAGGATGTATTTGCAGGTTCAAGGAGGGTAGAGGGTGAGGCGTTAGAAGGAATAAACACATGCACAACCATCCTTTGGTAAAATATATGGCTGCAGCTTATTTTATTGCATACAGGCAAGGGGCAATGGCGCAGCATGGGGACGGATCCAAGCAACAGGCGACCCGCCTGCCACCTGATGGAACCCCTACCCAGCCTGTCTGCTGGGAGACCAACCGTGGAGTGACAAGATCTCGGGACACATGCGGGTGCCGGACTCTTCAAGGTCCCCTTGCCACCTGGTGGTGGAAGCCAGCCAACAGTCCCCGCCTTGGCATGTGGCTGAGTGGCTCCACCTCCCAAGGCTCCTCTTGGGAGCCCCCAAATTGGGAGAGACAGGCACGCAAGCATGGCCTCCCCCCCCCCCAAGGATCCATCCCGATGCCCAAACCGCTAAGCTGCGACAGCAAAGAACAGACCAGAGAAACACCGTAACATGACCAAAACGAGGGAGGGTGGGTGGGCAAGCTGCTGATCTGATGAGAAGAGGAGGAGGAGCAGGAGGTGTGTGCGAATGTAGCGAATAATCCCTCCTTTGGGGATGGGGTGGGGGTGTTGTATTCCATGGGATTCCTGTGGGGCCATCAGGGCATCCCACCTGCCACCCCGATTCCTTTTTTCTCTTCTGATTTGTAGCTTTATCAGCTCCCCCCCGCCCTTGAGTGTGCAGATCAGGAGAGTCCCAAACAGAGAACTTGGGTGTGGAGAGAGATTGGGAATCCCTTTTCTTTAAGGCGTGTTCCTCAAAGTAAGAGGTCAGATGCCTTAACTGGAGTGAGTGGAGGCTCTTTTGGGGTAGGAGGGAAATTCTCGGATGACGGTATCCTCTTTGATAGGGTGCACCTATTTCTGCTGAAGATTCCCACCTGAATGTCTTTTCTCTGACAGCATAAGGAACTTTTCAGGATGTTTTCATTAAGAAGGGATCCTGGTGTAATTTTCATGTTAACTGATAGATGAGTGGTTGTTTTTAAAACTATTCTTTTCTGTTTGCAATCTGCCCTGAGTATTATTGAGAAAACGAGGACTGAGATGAACCAAAGAGGTCAGCAGACCAAACGTGGGGATGAGGGAAGGCAACTTCTTGCTGACAAGACAGTTTCACAGCTCTTCCAATGAATGGCGTACACATATTGGCAAGGCCAGCTGGTTAAGTTCTGTGGGTAGCCATTAAAATAAATCCTAAACCTTTTAGGTAAATAACTATGGCTGCGGTCACACGGAGCATTAGGCACGCTAGAGGGACGGAAGATAGGCGGATTTTCCAGGCGCGATCTCACCACCACATCTGGGAAGCGTCGAGCTCCTGTGGCGAACCCGAGGCTTCCCGCGGAAGATGCGCAGTAAAAAAACTAGTACCTCGGAGGGACTAGTTTCCGGAAACCGTGGGGCAAGGGTGGGTGCCTGATCGCGTTTCCGGTGGGTGCCCATGTCCCGTCGCTAAAAGGTTTTTTTTCCCAAGTCTCCACGGGATGCGCACAAGCACCCAACGGCGCATGCGCACACTTCATTTAAAAACAAACAACACAGCCCCCTCCTCTTTTCCATACCCCCCCCACTCCTGGCTCGGCCTGCTCGAGAGGAACTCTCTGCGCCGGGTGGCAGAGGGGGAGGTGCAGGGGGTGTGTGGCGGGAGGGCGGCCAGGCTGAAGCTCCTCCTGGAGGGGACCAGACGGAAGACAGTTTGCATTCCTCTGCAGCCCTGTGGTCAGGGGGGAGGTGCTGATCACAGGACCCCTGGAAGGGGTTAAATCCGCAGAGCCTTTTTCTAGAGAGGCCACTTCTTTGCCGTGCCGTAGGATTGTCCTGTGATCAGCACCTCCCCCCTGACCACGGGACCTCGACGGGATGTCTGATCGCTCAGTCGCACGTTATTTTGCTCCGGGGCAAACAGCCACACTTCCCCCCCCCCGCATTTTCCTGCCCGTGTGACCGGGGCCTTAATTTGCTTTGCCAGACACAGAAACAGATTGCCACCAAGTTACAATGGAAACTCCCCTGTCTAGTCCTACCATGTCTTGCTGAATTATTATCTTCAAAGACATGTCTGTCTGTTTTTAATATGAAATTGATAATATTAAACTAAGTAACTTGTTTTATTATTAAGATTTCATTGCTGTATGATATGTGATAGCCCAGGATAGCCTGACCTCATCAAATCTTGGAAGCTAAGCAGGGTAAGCCCTGATCCTTATTTGGATGGGAGACCACCAAAGAATACCAAAGTTGCGACTCAGAGGCAGGCAGGGCCGGCTCACTCACTAGGCGAACTAGGCACTCGCCTAGAGCGTGGCAGCCCTTAGGGGTGCCAAACTGGCACACCCTCTCGCTGTCCTGGTTCAGCTGCAAACACTACTGAGTTTTAAACATGTTATGATCTTTCTGATGATACCAACACCAATTCCACCAAAGAACGTAGCCCTCTGGGCACAGAAGGGTCACTCAGCTGAGTCAAAGAAGAATCTAAGTAGGGGACTATTACATAAGGACACTCAAGTTGCAACTGACTTATGGCAACCCCAGCAAGGAACTGTCAAGGCAAGTGAGAAGCAGAGGTTGTTTGCGACTGCGAGTGCCTTTCTTTGCAGAGTCTTCCTTGGTGGAAGCCAGATGTTTAAAAGCAGGCAAAGTTACAAAAGGAAAAGTGAGTGTTAAGAGCATGGGTGCCAGGGGAACAGGAGGTCCAGGGTACAGATCCAATTAATGGGTCGGAGCCATGGTGGGCGCACGGGGGGCGGGCGCCAGAAGGGATCCTCGCCTAGGGTGCAAAATAAGCTGGGGCCGGCCCTGGAGGCAGGCAATGGCAAACCACGTCTGATCGACTCCTGCCTTGAAAACACTATCTGGTTGCCATAAGATGGCTGCAGCTTGATGGTTAGAGAAAAGAGAGATGTGAATAAGCTACAGCACTGATTGAACGAGTACTTACGGCAGGAGCCATTGGTCTTTGCTCTCCAGTCAATACAGACACCTTTAGTGGCACAAAGAGAAGCATATATCTCCAGCCCAGAGCACTGCATGGAAGTATTGGTCATATAGCAAGCATCGAAGTTACAGCCTTGGTAGAAAGGTTTTGGAGGTATCACATCATGGCACTTCGAGAAGATGCTGTAAAGGTACCAGAAATGTCACGTGTGAAAACGAGCTTTCAGACAGATGTTCTTCTTTTCCCTACACCCCTATTAAAACTTTCAGCTAAAAATACAGACTGTTTTCTTTTCTCTAGATCAGTGATGGCAAACCTTTTGGAGACTGAGTGCCCAAACCGCGACTCAAAACCCACTTATTTATTGCAAAGTGCCAACACGGCAATTGAACCTGAAGACTGAGGTTTTACTTTAGAAAAAACAACTCATACATTAACTTAAGTTGATCCAAACAAAGTAAGGAAAGCAATCCCAAATGCTTTCACTTACTTAAAATTATTTGGCAGAGAATTCGACACTTTAATGCTGGTCTGGGCCTGGCTGGGGCGATGGCACGCGTGCCCACAGAGAGGGCTCTGAGTGCCACCTCTGGCACCCATGCCATAGGTTCACCACCACTGCTCTAGATGATACCCTTGTCATTAAACTCTCGAAGCAGGAAAAAGTAAATTAAGATCATCTGCCATCTTACTCGCTCCAAATCATCTGGCAAAGAGGGCTGGGTTTACAAGTTGGTGGTGGAGGTGGTGTGGTTGCAGGTACTGGTGGTGGTGTAGAGCAGTACTCTTTCTTGTCACTAGGGACTCTCCAAGCGGGAGCCATGCGGGGACAATCAGTGACCACACCACTGGGTAAGCGGCACTCATCTTTTTTGTCGTTTGTGCAGGTACCTGGAGGAAAAGAAACGGAATCAGAGAAAGGAGGTGGGAAGCAAGACATCCACGATTAAATGTACAGAGGTCTACATTCAGATGAAATGCAGAGATGCCATCAGTGTCCTAGAGCTTTTTGACAATTCTGTTTGGAGCCGATTGAAGAAATATCAGGGGGCAAGGAGGTGAGCCGGCAGCGCCATGACTTCTAGCAAGGGTAGGCGGGAAACCAAAGCGATGCCTCTGCGATCCAACAGCAACCTGACAGGGTCAGGCCAGGGAAAAGGCCAGAGCAAAGTTGGCCACAAGGGGGGCTAAGCCTTTCCTAGGGATGGGAGGCAACACTTCAAGGTGTTGGTAATTACCTTCAAAGCCTTATACAGGTTGGGGCCAACATACCTAAGGGACCGCCTTCCCTATGGAACACTATTGGAACACTTTCCCTATGAGGAAAGGTTAAGGCGCTTGGGGCTCTTTAGCTTGGAGAAACGACGACTGAGGGGTGACATGATTGAGGTTTATAAGATTATGCATGGGAAAGAGCAGGTAGAGAAAGAGGTACTTTTCTACCTTTCTCACAATACAAGAACTCGTGGACACGCCATGAAATTGCTGAGCGGTCGGGTTAGAACGGATAAAAGGAAGTCCTTCTTCACCCAAAGAGTGATTAACACTTGGAATTCACTGCCACAGGAGGTGGTGGCGGCTACAAGCATGGACGGCTTCAAGAGGGAATTAGATAAGCATATGGAGCAGAGGTCCATCAGTGGCTATTAGCCACAAGGTATAGATAGGGGCTCTGGGGCAAGTGATGCTCTGTCTTCTTGGTGCTTGGGGGGGGTCAAGAGTGGGAGGGCTTCTAATGTCCTGGCCCCACTGGTGGCACTGGTATTTCTGGCCACTGTGTGATACAGAGTGTTGTGCTGGATGGGCCTTTGGCCTGATCCAACATTGGCATCTCTTATGTTCTTATGTTCCCATATACGCCTCGGAGAGCGTTACGCTCTGAGAGTCAACATCTCCTGGTGATCCCTGGCCCAAGGGACGTCTACCTAGCTTTGACCTGTTGGAACATGCTCCCTAGTGAGATCAGGGTCCTGCGGGATCTTATGCAATCCCGCAGGGCCTGCGAGACGAAGCTGTTCCACCATGCGTCTGGCTGAGGCAGCGGGCGTCCACATATGCCCCCCCCCAGGTTGCGATCACCCACCTACTGATAACCAGCCATACTCCATTACATCAATGGGCCGGATTCTCCCTATGGCAAGCATGACTACTGATTTTATGTTTTAATATGCTTTAAAATTTATTGTATTTATTAAACTGTTGTAACCTGCCCTGACCCCATTTACGGGATGGGCGGGATATGAACCGGGGGGGGGGACTTGCAAGTACTGTGAGGAACTATTTAAGCTCCTCCAGCCCAAAGATGGAGCTGCGGTGGCTCAAGTGGTTAAGACACTGAACTGCAGGCTGTGGAAGGTCCCTAGTTCAGCAGTTCGAGACCCGGGTGCCACATGATGGAGTGAGCTCCCGTCTCTAGTTCCAGCTCCTGCCAACCTAGCAGTTCGAAAGCAAGAAATTGCAAGTAGATAAATAGGTACAACTTCGGTGGGAAGGGAACAGCGTTCCGTGTGCCTTGGTGTTTAGTCATGCCGGCCACATGACCACGGAAACGTCTTCGGACAGCACTGGCTCTTCGGCTTGGAAACGGAGATGAGCACCGCAACCCTAGAGTCGGATTCGACTGGCTTTTGAGCAAGGGACACCTTTACCTTTTACTAGCCCAAAGAGAAGGAGAATACAATCACAGCTACTCTTCTCTCCATGGAGCTAACTCAGAGAGAAGGGCAGGAGATTGAAGAGAGAGTCCCAACAGGAGGCAGCAGACCCCTCCCCTCCCAGTCTGACTTCTCTGCAGGAGTGGGGGATGAACTTGGTACCCCCTGTGGTGGCCTCATCCTCAAGGAGGAGGCGGACATGCCATGCCTTCACTCTGTGAATCACCAGCCATGGATTGTTGGATGGTTTTCCCTTCATGCTGCTAGTGATGTAGGGATAATAACACTTTTGGCGCTAAAGCATGAACAAAAAGGGTCTGTGGAGCAAGATGCGTTTTGATGGGAAGCATTATCCTTACCACACTGTCCTTCGGTATTGTTGCCGAATTTGCTATAGGGAAGCTTTATGGAGAAGATTAAACCACTGAAGGTGACGGTAGCCCCAATCTCTGGTATCTCGACCATCATATTGACACCCAGCGTGGAGACAGACATGCCATCTTTCTGGAAACCGGGGTTGACAATCTGGTTGTTGAAGTAGATCTGCAAATGAATTTAACTTTACAATCAGGAATTCTCTTTCATTTGATGTAGGTGGACTGTCTGTGGAATGCCTCAGCGAAGGGTCTCTTAATCTTCTGCTATGGCTTTCAGGAGAACGAGGGTGCTTGGTAGAAGGCTAGCTAACATCCCTTTTGCATATTTACATACAAATATGTAATCTTCATATCTGACACTTGGGTTCCTCACAGTATTCCCCAATCTCCTGTTTATTTGCCTCTTTATGTACCTCAAGGAGACCAAGTTGAGTGGCCAGTGCATAATGGTTATCTTCATATAGCTGGCCATAATTAATCTGGGCAGCCAGTGCACAAGAATGTAGGATTAGTAACAAGAGTGATGATACATTTTACTTCATGTAGCTATATTATTAAATTTTTAAAAAGATACATTAATGTATTGACTTCAGAAATATACATTTCCTATTTTGTGGTCATCACGGGTTGCATTCCATGGATCATTTCCCTAAGAACAAGAGCTCTTACACAAGCGGAACCACAAGAAAGTCATAGCAAGTAGCTCTTGCACTAAATCCACTTTACTGGATCCCATCTTGTGTTTCTGCTTGCACAAGGCATAGTGGGAGATATATTTCAGCAACTGTTGCCTCCCATAATGAATTTCTTCAATCAAATCATACTGCACCTCCAAATTGGGAGGTAATGACTTCTTCAAATAGCCTTTTGTTTTTGTTTTTATACACAGCAACACTGACTGGAAACGAAATTCGGTGCTTTATCTTACAGCAGCTCTTGAGCAAATGGAACGGTAAAGTAAAATTTGGCTTCTGCTACTGCGGTGGCTCAAGTGGTTAAGACGCTGAACTGCAGGCTGTGGAAGGTCAGTAGTTCAGCGGTTCAAGACCCGGGTGCCGCAAGACAGGGTGAGCTCCTGTCTCCAGTTCCAGCTCCTGCCAACCTAGCAGTTCGAAAGCAAGAAATTGCAAGTAGATAAATAGGTACCACTTCGGTGGGAAGGGAACAGCGTTCCGTGCACCTTGGCATTTAGTCATGCCGGCCACATGACCACGGAAACGTCTTCGGACAGCGCTGGCTCTTCGGCTTTGAAACGGAGATGAGCACCGCAACCCTAGAGTCGGATTCGACTGGCTTTCGAGCACGGGAAACCTTTACCTTTACTGCATGGGCTATCTCAGATCATCAGCAAACGATGAATTCACACTTCTATTGATGCTCCTCTATTGATGTCTCAGACATCGTACAATGAATGAAAGCTCATGGACATAATAAGTTTTCTCTTTCAGGACTGAAGTCTGACTTCTGTTTCTCTTTGCTTTGTAAAGTGAACTTGTTTCTTCAGGGGTTTTTTTAAGTTCTGCCAGTATTATATTTCCTCGAGGTCAGTACACTAAGGGAGCCAAGTCAAACATTTTATGTAATATTTTTACCTTGTTGGCCTCTGCTCCATTAAAGAGTTCGCGGGTTAGCACTATTTTTGCAGATTTGTAGAAAATAATAATAGACTGAGGGCAGGAAAGTCCATCTTCTGCATCGCAGAAGTAATTGTCAATGAGAACCTTGAAATCGCCGTATTTTGGTGTAATCTGCTGCACCAGCACGTACGTGCAGTTGTCCAGGAAGGTGTAATAAGTTCCATCAAATGTGATATAGTGAGGGTCGCCCCAGCCGCTGCAAACACCTTATAATGAAAGGGGGGGAAATGATTAAGACTTTAACAAGACGCTGAGAAACATTCAGTTGTGACTCAAGTAATAATAATAATACCTCTGTAGTCATTCTAAAATTACTAAAATTGATCTGTATATGATATTTTCTTGAGTGCAATCAGCTTCATTTCCACTTACATTCACATTCATAGTGGTAACAGCAGCCATCGTCGCTGAAGACTTTCACGGGTGGATACCCATTTTCACAGACTATTTTCTCCACTGGGGGGCACTTCACTTGGTTTACAACAATTTTGTTATTCCCTTCACAAGTTGACTTGGTACAATTGGATATCCATGTTTCACCCTCCTGCAAAGACAATGAAATTGACACGGATGCAGCTTTCAAATTTTTAATTTAAATTAGAGCCTGTTATGCACGGGCATTTCCCCCAGCTTTCATCGTGATGCCGGTCAGGTTTTCTTTGTCATCCTGCGTTGATTTCCTTCCCTTCATGCTCAGTTCACTTTCTGGTCACTGTTTCCCCAGGTTTTCTGAGAGTGCTTATTTCCCCCCTGTTTCGGCAAATGTATAATAATCCAGGACCCTGCTTCCCCTGCTATCTCCTTTAGATGATTAGTGCTACCTTGAATTAAACAAATATGTGTAAGTCTTATAAGTTCTGTGATGTCTAATTTTAAATGCAAAATGTTGAATATGAAATTTAATTTTTAAATGTGAAATTTTATCATTTCAGTGTGTAAATCTAGCAATGGGGGAAACTTTCTTTTGCTCATTCTATGGACACATGCATGGTGATGGTGCTGGATTACCTGTGTACTGCCCTCTGGGAGACGTAGTAAAGACAAGTTGCTGCTTGTGGGTGATTTTAGAAATGCTTTCCTAATGCCTTTGACATTTACTCTGCCTTGCAGTGCTGACAAAAAAGAATTTAAAAATTCCTAGAGATTAACAACTATTGTTCTTTTAATCCATTTTTAATATTTTGTGGTTTAAATTTTTTTTACTTATATTTTGCTCTGTGCTGAAGCACCAATTTGTAGGACTTCTGAGTGGTTATCCAAAGTTCTTTTAAAATAGCACCCTTGCTATCATATTTTAACCTTGCCATTCCGGAAAGAATGTCAGAGCAGCATACATGCTTCTTGCTTCCACCATTATATCCTCACAACAGCCCTTATGGTATATGGGGATGACTGGTTTAGGCTCAGCCTCACACCTCACTGACTTGAACCCGAGCCTCCCCCTAGCCCATGTCTGGCATTCTAAGCACTACACGGCACATTCCCACACCAGTGTCACTAAGTAACATCAGATAATGAAAACTATGAAGTGTTAGCTATCACATATTGTCACATATTGCCTAAACAAATGTGCTTAATAGTAAAGTCAAATAACCAGAGAATATCTTGGGAGTAAGCAGCAGGGGTCATTTCGGGGGGGAACGCAGGGGAACGCAGTTCCACCGGGTGAGGTGCAGGGGGAGGGGCACATGATGAAGCCCCGCCCCCTGCTTCCGGCCGCCCCGCTTCCAGCCCTCATTCAGCCAGGAGGAGGCAGGAGAAGAGGGAGAGTAAGTTGCTTCCTCCCCGCCTCTCCCCACCCCTGCCTGCCTGGGGCCAGGGAGGGCCTTGGCGGGGCTTCCTCGCACTCCCGCCAGCCTTGCAGGTCCACCGCCGGGCCCCTGATGTCAGGGGGTGTGGCATATGCTAATGAGTTATGCTAATGAGTTCCCCTAGCTCTTTTTCTACGAAATGACTCTTGGTAAGCAGCATTAAAAGTTTGCAATAGCAAAGTTTGTCCACAGTGGTTGGAATAATTTTCAGCTCTAGCACTGAACGGCTGATAAGTTTTTTGTGTTGTGAATGATGGTTAGCTTGTGTGATTATTGGGCTCTTTTTGTAGCAGGAACTCCTTTGCATATTAGGCGACACACCCCTAATGTAGCCAATCCTCCCCTGTAAGAAGAGCCCCTGTAAGAAGAGCTCTGTAAGCTCTTGGAGGATTGGCTACATTAGGGGCGTGTCGCCTAATATGCAAAGGAGTTCCTGCTACAAAGAGTCCTAACTCCCTAGCTATGTTGCTAATTATCAGTGGCTGTGAGATCCAAGCACCTCCAGCACCTTATGAAGCCTCAGCTTGTGATCCTTCTGTTCTCCCAGCCTGTAGCCTCCTCTTTATTCTTCGGGCCTCTAACATTTCAGGAACACACATAAGGCATAAGGCTTTCCCCTAAACAATAATGGCATTTATTTGGGGGAGGGGAGGGGAGAACAGTAATGGAATAAGTCGTTTACCAAAAAGGGACTCTAGAGGTGCAAACATCTATAGCTAAGAAATGGAATAGTCACCTGAGGAAGAGCCATTTTCATAATGAAGAATGATTAAGAAGAACTGTCAGATGGCTGGGGGAGGGGCGTTTACAGTCTACCTGTCGCTGGAATCAATGAAGAAACCTCAGTGGAACTTTTCTACTGTGTCAATATACCCCCCGCATAAAACAGTTGTTTAAAATATTTTCAAGTAGTACCTTCCTGGGTGGCACAGCGTCAGGACAACCGGGTACACGGGGTGCTGGTGTGCTGGTGGTGACTGGGGCTGTGCTGGTGGTGGCCGGTGTGGTTTCGACTGTTGTGGTCGGTTCGGGTGTTGTTGGTTCGGGTGTTGTTGGTTCGGGTGTTGTTGATTTGCAAAGCCCCTTGAATCTTTCAACAGAACATGTTTCAGTACAGATGGCATAGAAAAGGCAACCATCGTGATCTGTTTTATTATAAATCGTTTCACCTACAAGGAAAAAAAACACAACTCTGTTAGATTCTACAGTTGGAGGCACAGATTTCATTTGTAATATTGCAGATCCTTTAACCTGATTCAGCTAGTTTTCCAACTGCAACTCTTGCTTGAGCAATGGGACCTACTAACCATAGTGGCCCATGCTCTGTTCAGAATGTGGCATCATAATTGCTAGCTGGAGTGGAATACAGCTGGCATAAGACTCTTGATCTTAAAGATCTGCACTAGCTTTCTGTTCATTTTGAGTTCCAATTCAAGGTGTTAATTTTAACCTACAAAACGTCGCCCAGTTTGGGTTCCAGGGTACTTCAAGGACTGCCTATTCCCATGCTCTTCTGCAAAGGCACTGCACACAGCTTCACATCCTGGAGCCTTCCTGTCTTTGGGGGTGAGGGGGGTGATCCAAACGGACTTTTCACATTTCACATCGTGACAGCGATAGGCAGTATTTTTTCAGACCACAATATTTTCCAATCACAAACTACTATCCAGAGTTGCTGAGATAAACATGCAAACAACATCCAGGCATCCAGGCGATTCAGGAGCCTTGGTAGCAACTCTGGAGGATTCTTTGGGGATCGGGAAAATACCACAGAGGAGAACCTCCATTTCCTTCTACCTCTCGCCCGATCCAAAATAACCCCTTCCTGAACCTGCTTTTTACCAGGGAAAGCATTTACTGGAATTCCAACATTTCATGGAGGCTTACCCAGGCATACTACAAAAACAGAAATTATTTTCTTTTCCTGTAAAACTGAGTAAAACAATTCCGGGTATAAGTAGTAAAGCACTGTAAAATAAAATACATACCGGACTGATAAACACTCTCTCCAATTTTGCAGAAACATGGGCTCACTGGTGGTGTTGTAGGTGTGGTTTGGGGTACTGTAGTTGTCGTTACAGGTATCGTTGTAGGTGTGGTGGTAATTGTTGTGGTTGGTTCAGTAACTGTGGTAGTTGGTTCAGTCGTGGTGGTGGCTTGTACGGTTGTAGTTCTGCAGTTAAGGTTTTCCTCACAGCATAATACCCGTACCTCATAATTGAGACACTGCTTGTTCTTCCCCATTTGATTCCCATTCATGCACACCAGTCCCTTATTGACATCACAATCTACATTCTGGCCAACCTGCTCAATGCTTAAGCCAGGGTGATTTTCAGCCCTACACTGGATATTTGCTGGCTTCGCACAGATCTTGCCTCCTGCAGCCCGGATATTATTATATGTTTCCATGTCTCCTCCCTTAGGTCCAGAAGTGGGGAAGTTAACATCAAACCATTTCGACCATGTGCATATGGCGGGTCCGCAAGTTGTTCCAGGAGACGTGGTTGTCAGTTGTGTTGTGGTGGTGGTTGGAGGCACGGGGGTAGTAGTGGGTGGTGTTGTGGTGATTTCTTTGGGAACTGTGATAGTTGTACCTCTGGTGGTTGTGACTGGTGTGGTTTCTTTGGTCGTAGGACTAGTGGTAGTAGTAGTAGTCTCTGTGGGAGTAGTCGGGGGAACTGTAGTTGTCGTTACTGGTACGGTTGTAGTTGTGGTTGTGGTGGTGACTATAGTAGTTGGTTCAGTAACTGTGGTAGTTGGTTCAGTAACTGTGGTAGTAGTAGTAGTCTCTGTGGGAGTAGTCGGGGGAACTGTAGTTGTCGTTACTGGTACGGTTGTAGTTGTGGTTGTGGTGGTGACTATAGTAGTTGGTTCAGTAACTGTGGTAGTAGTAGTAGTCTCTGTGGGAGTAGTCGGGGGAACTGTAGTTGTCGTTACTGGTACGGTTGTAGTTGTGGTTGTGGTGGTGACTATAGTAGTTGGTTCAGTAACTGTGGTAGTAGTAGTAGTCTCTGTGGGAGTAGTCGGGGGAACTGTAGTTGTCGTTACTGGTACGGTTGTAGTTGTGGTTGTGGTGGTGACTATAGTAGTTGGTTCAGTAACTGTGGTAGTAGTAGTAGTCTCTGTGGGAGTAGTCGGGGGAACTGTAGTTGTCGTTACTGGTACGGTTGTAGTTGTGGTTGTGGTGGTGACTATAGTAGTTGGTTCAGTAACTGTGGTAGTAGTAGTAGTCTCTGTGGGAGTAGTCGGGGGAACTGTAGTTGTCGTTACTGGTACGGTTGTAGTTGTGGTTGTGGTGGTGACTATAGTAGTTGGTTCAGTAACTGTGGTAGTAGTAGTAGTCTCTGTGGGAGTAGTCGGGGGAACTGTAGTTGTCGTTACTGGTACGGTTGTAGTTGTGGTTGTGGTGGTGACTATAGTAGTTGGTTCAGTAACTGTGGTAGTAGTAGTAGTCTCTGTGGGAGTAGTCGGGGGAACTGTAGTTGTCGTTACTGGTACGGTTGTAGTTGTGGTTGTGGTGGTGACTATAGTAGTTGGTTCAGTAACTGTGGTAGTAGTAGTAGTCTCTGTGGGAGTAGTCGGGGGAACTGTAGTTGTCGTTACTGGTACGGTTGTAGTTGTGGTTGTGGTGGTGACTATAGTAGTTGGTTCAGTAACTGTGGTAGTAGTAGTAGTCTCTGTGGGAGTAGTCGGGGGAACTGTAGTTGTCGTTACTGGTACGGTTGTAGTTGTGGTTGTGGTGGTGACTATAGTAGTTGGTTCAGTAACTGTGGTAGTAGTAGTAGTCTCTGTGGGAGTAGTCGGGGGAACTGTAGTTGTCGTTACTGGTACGGTTGTAGTTGTGGTTGTGGTGGTGACTATAGTAGTTGGTTCAGTAACTGTGGTAGTAGTAGTAGTCTCTGTGGGAGTAGTCGGGGGAACTGTAGTTGTCGTTACTGGTACGGTTGTAGTTGTGGTTGTGGTGGTGACTATAGTAGTTGGTTCAGTAACTGTGGTAGTAGTAGTAGTCTCTGTGGGAGTAGTCGGGGGAACTGTAGTTGTCGTTACTGGTACGGTTGTAGTTGTGGTTGTGGTGGTGACTATAGTAGTTGGTTCAGTAACTGTGGTAGTAGTAGTAGTCTCTGTGGGAGTAGTCGGGGGAACTGTAGTTGTCGTTACTGGTACGGTTGTAGTTGTGGTTGTGGTGGTGACTATAGTAGTTGGTTCAGTAACTGTGGTAGTAGTAGTAGTCTCTGTGGGAGTAGTCGGGGGAACTGTAGTTGTCGTTACTGGTACGGTTGTAGTTGTGGTTGTGGTGGTGACTATAGTAGTTGGTTCAGTAACTGTGGTAGTAGTAGTAGTCTCTGTGGGAGTAGTCGGGGGAACTGTAGTTGTCGTTACTGGTACGGTTGTAGTTGTGGTTGTGGTGGTGACTATAGTAGTTGGTTCAGTAACTGTGGTAGTAGTAGTAGTCTCTGTGGGAGTAGTCGGGGGAACTGTAGTTGTCGTTACTGGTACGGTTGTAGTTGTGGTTGTGGTGGTGACTATAGTAGTTGGTTCAGTAACTGTGGTAGTAGTAGTAGTCTCTGTGGGAGTAGTCGGGGGAACTGTAGTTGTCGTTACTGGTACGGTTGTAGTTGTGGTTGTGGTGGTGACTATAGTAGTTGGTTCAGTAACTGTGGTAGTAGTAGTAGTCTCTGTGGGAGTAGTCGGGGGAACTGTAGTTGTCGTTACTGGTATGGTGGTAGTTGTGGTTGTGTGTTTTTGTTGTGGCTGTGTAGATGGTTTTTGAGGGGATGTAGTTTTTCCAATTGCTGTAATAATTGTTTTTGCTCTTGTGGTTGTTACTGGCAATGTTGTGGTTGTCAGTGTTGTGGTTGTTTCAGGGACCAGAGTCGTTGTTGTGGTAGTCTCTGGAGTGGTAGTTGTTGGTATTTTTGTTGTAACTGTTGTGCTAGTTTCTGGAACTGTAGTAGTAGGTGTTGTTGTGGTTGTGACTGTTGTGGTAGTTTCTGGAAGTGTAGTAGTTGGTGCTGTGGTAGTTTTTGGAACTGTTGTGGTAGTTCCTGGAACTGGAGTAGTTGGTGGTGTTGTGGTTGTTACTGTTGTGGTAGTTTCTGGCACTGTTGTGGTTGTTACTGTTGTGGTAGTTTCTGGAACTGTCGTGGTAATTTCTGGAACAGGAGTAGTTGTTGTTGTTACTGTTGTGGTAGTTTCTGGTACTGTTGTGGTTGTTACTGTTGTGGTAGTTTCTGGCAGTGTTGTGGTTGTAATCGTTGTGGTAGTTTCTGGAACTGTAGTGGTAATTTCTGGAACGGGAGTAGTTGGTGGTGGTGTGGTTGTTACTGTTGTGGTAGTTTCTGGTACTGTTGTGGTTGTTACTGTTGTGGTAGTTTCTGGCAGTGTTGTGGTTGTAATTGTTGTGGTAGTTTCTGGAACTGTAGTGGTAGTTTCTGGAACGGGAGTAGTTGTTGCTGTGGTTGTGACTGTTGTGGTAGTTTCTGGCTCTGTTGTGGTTGTAATTGTGGTAGTTTCCGGAACTGTAGTTGTTGGAACTGTTGTAGTAGTTTCTGGAACAGTACTTGTTGGTAATGTGGTTGTAACTGTTGTGGTTGTTTCTGGTACTGTTGTGGTAGTTTCTAGAACTGTCGTTGTTGTAATCGTTGTTGTAGTTTCTGGAACTGTAGTGGTCGTTTCTGGAACAGGAATATTTGGTGTTGTTGTGGTTGTGACTGTTGTTGTAGTTTCTGGAACTGTAGTTGGAGCTGTTGAAGTAGTTTCTGGAACTGGAGTAGTAGTGGCTGTGGTTGTTGTAGTAGTTTCTGGAATTGTTTTAGTTGTAACTATAGTGGTAGTTTTTGGAACTGCAGTTGTCGTTGGTGTTGTGATTGTGACTGTTGTAGTTTCTGGAAGTGTAGTTGTTGGTGTTGTCGTAGCAGGTGTAGTCACAGGTTTTGTAGTTGTAAGTTGTGTGGTTGTTGGGCATGGTATAATAACTTTTTTGCAGCATTCAATTCTTATCTCATAGTTGTAGCAAATCGGCGCCGGAAACTGTTCATTATTATGACATATGAGTCCTTCTGTTTTACTGCATATAACTTTTTGCTCTAATTCATTTAAGGGTGTATTAGGATATCTTTCTGCTCTGCATTCAACAGCCTTTGGTGTCTTACAGACTTTATATCCTTTGGCCCTTATGTTTTTAAATGTATCAAAATCACCATCATCAGGTGCAGATCCTGGATAACTGATATCATACCATTGTGACCATTCACAGACTTCCTCACTGCAGTGTTCAGTTGTTGAAGGAACTGTCGTTAAAAGACTTGTCATTTCTGTACTTGTTGTTGCTGGAATAGTTTTTGTTGATGCTTGTGTTGTAGTCTGAGAAACTGTTGGTGTAGATGGAGTTGGAGTAGTGAGTGTGCTTGCCGTTGTTTCTGGTGGGCTGGTCGCACACTCACTTTCACAGCAGTAGACCTTTATTTGATAGTTAAGACACATTTTAAATCCTTCCAATTGGTCTTCATTTCTGCAAACAAATCCAAATGATACATTGCACTGGACAATTTGGCCAATTTCATTGATTGATTTCTCTGGGAATTTCTCTGCTCTGCATGTTATACGTTCAGGATGTCTACAGATGTCTTTTCCTGCAGACTTAATGAGGTCATATGTTTCAAAATCCCCTTTATTGTCCAAACTGGGAAAATGTATATCAAACCATTCAGTCCATTTACATTTACGTTTGCAAGTAGTTTGAGTTGTGACTTCTGTTGTAGGAGATAAAATTTCTGTGGTAGATCTAGCAGTGGTCCCAGTAGATGTAGTAGTAGTTTCTGGTGTTGTCACAGAGATGCTAGTTGTTTCCGGAACTGTCGTTGTGGAAATAAGCGTAGTAGATAGAGTGGTAGTTGATTTTATTGTTGTAGGAGTTCTGGTGCCTGTAGTAGTTTCAGGTGTGGATGCAGTAGTGTAACCACATGGTACAAAACTACAACAAAGGATTTTGATCTGATAATTGTTGCAGCTCATTGGATGTTGGTCTGTATTGTAACAGATTAGTCCCACTGTCTTACTGCATTCTACTTTTTGGCCCAGTTCACTTAATGGAGTATTAGGGAATTTCTCTGCTCTGCACTCGACAGCCTTTGGAGCTTTGCAGACTTTATAACCTTCTGCTTTCAAATTATCAAAAGTGTCGAAATCGCCATCGCCACTTCCAGAATCTGGGTTAGTTACATCATACCATTGTGACCAATGGCATACTTCCTGAACACAAACAGAAGTAGTTGTAGGCACTTTGGGGGGGGGGGAGAGAGAAATAAAGAGAACAATTTAGTATAATATTTTGTTTCCAGCTAAGTGCAACATGAAAAATATATGACTTCTGTAAGAAGAAAGTTCTTTAAAGTCATTGAACTAGTTTAGATGAAATACCGTAAATTAGTGCATCAAAATACCACACGGGCTCATTGCTACTTAATAGCAAACTAGCTGACCCCCTGTTTGGGTAATGAAAGCAGCAGAGTGAGGCCACACAGAAAATACGAGGGACCGCCTTTCCCCGTATGTTCCCAAGAGAGGACTGCGATCTGGAACACAAAACCACCTGCCCCCCCCCCGGGCCTAGGGACACCAGGCTGGTGGCAACTAGGACCAGGGCGTTCTCCCTGGTGGTGCCAACGCTCTGGGACGAGCTCCCTAGTGAGATCAGGGCTCTGCGGGACCTCCGGCAATTCTGCAGAGCCGTGAAAACGGAGCTGTTCCGCCGGGCGTTCCAGGATTAATTGATTCCATTGTTTGTGCCGCACTTTATTCTATGATGCCGTCGTATTTAAATAGTTAAATTGTATTGATTGGAATTTTATGGAACTGTATTTTACGTTGCATTTTGTGTGTATTCTGCTGTTTTTTAAAAACTGTATGCTGGTTTTAAAATTCTACGTAAGCCGCCCTGAGCTGCTTCGGTGGGAGGGCGGGCTAGAAATCTAATAAATAAATAAATCTTCACCTGCTCAGGAAACTCCCCAGGTATGCAGAACAATATACAAAGGAAAAAAATAACCTTTTGAATCAATCTAGTAAGGACTGATTCCAGGAGTGGGATGGAGGCACAAGAGGGCAGCATTCGCGGGCGGTGTGCCCTGCACTGCTCACTGTGGTTGCTGCCCATCTCTATCTCCTCCTCCTCCATTGCAAAAACTGCCAATGGGAGGGAAATCTTGGCAGGGCAACCGAAGCCCAGCAATTGTCCCCCCCCCCCAACAGCTGAGCCACAGCTCACAGCTGAACTGCAGCTAGGGTTGCCTGGTTCCCTGGGGGGGGGGAATCCCCGCTCCATGGGCCCATTACCCACCGGCCTGGATCAGCCACCAAGGGGGACCCCACCCCCAAATGCCGGGATCGTGGAGACGTGCCTGGCGTTATGACATCACCCGGAGGTGACATCATCGCGTCGGGCACATTGTGAAAGGACGCTTTATCATTCGAGGGAAAACTCTATGGAAAACTCCCAGAGAGGGCCAGGACTCCCCCCCCTGCTGCAGCTACAGTAGGACTTGGCGACCCTAACTGCAACGCAGTTGCTAAGGAGGGGGGGGTGAGAAGCCCTGTAAAACTGCAAAAAGAAGAGGGGGCAATGCCGATACTTAGTGCTGCCATTTTGAACGTGGTCATAAGCTCTCCCCTGGATTGGCTGCAAGCAGTGGTTTCACATGGAGGCTCAGCCTGCAGCTGATGTGCTGCTTACCCTTCAAGGCAGAGTGAAGGAGCAGAGCGAAGGAGGTTTCTCTTTGCTTCAGCTTAAAAGGAAATGCTTCAGGAGCCCTGTAGTGATTTCATGTTTAACTGTGTGTGTGTGGCTTTAAAAGTTTGGTTTGCATGGCTGTGATGATAATCTAGAGTGCTGGAATCAGGCAAGTGATATGATTGGTGAGTGACAGAGAGGGGGAGGGGTTTTGGAATGGATGCTGTGTGGAGGATTTGAATGTCTATCAAGAGGGTCAGTTAGATATGACAGTTGATGAAGATCAGTTAAGTTCTGATTTCTGGGTGAGAAGCAGAAGTTCTGTGTATGAGAGGAGTGAGACCCATCCCTGTGTGGGATGAGTTTAGTTCTGGGGTCTGAAGGAGAGACCTTCTTGTGTGTGTTATGAAAAGTTGAAGTATAAAAAAACAGTAACCATATATGGTCTGAAGGAAAAAAGTTACCTAAGGAAAAATCCCTGTCAGTAGGGAGCAGACTGTGTGTTATACCTACTTTACTAGTTACATGGTTCTACCCTCGTATTCATGCTTTCTTTAAATAAATCCTATTTCATTCAAATATACCAGCTCTGGAAAGAATCCTTTCTCAGACCACATAGTTCCTCGAAAGCTTAAACCCTCGATATACCTACCCAGTGATGAATATTATATTATAAAGGTTTGGAAAGCCTTAAATTTCCTGGTGGCAGCCGGATTACCCAGTAGAAAAAAACATAAAGTACACTTTTAAAGGGAAACCAGACCTCCCCAGTAAAGGGGTCATCACAAGCCCCGTGAGGCATGCCTCAAGAGAGCATGGTGTTGTGGGAAAGTTCCTAAACAAAGCAGGAGCATTTTGCCTGTGACGCCTATGCACATGCGCAAAAGTTTTTTTAAAAAAAACCCCACCGTGCATGCCTCCTTCAGTGGACGCCATCTAGACAATCCACAATGGAGGCAGTGCGCGGTAAGGCGATTCACCAGGGGGATTTCCGATCATGCTACGATGGATTAAAAAGATTGGGATAAAATTCAAGCTGGCATAATGGGATTAGCTGCCCATCTGAACGCACTCTATCAGGTATCAAAGAAACACGGGGCAACGGGAGGGGGGAATGGAATTCAGACAACTCAGCCACTACAGACAGATGTTGCTGTCTGATCGTGCACTTTAAATCCATAAGGGGACAGCAAGGGGAATGAATCAAATTGCCCTTGTGAACGCAACCCTTGTTTCTGCGGCTTAATAGTGCAGTTCACAGTGGGAACATCATTACAAACTTCAACTGATTGAATAGATCTTTAATAGCCATGCTCTCTTTGTATAAGGGAACTCTGAGAATAGTTGTTCCATGAGGGGGGCTTGAAATCTCAAGCAGAAAAAAACCCCACCGTGCATGCCTCCTTCAGTGGACGCCATCTAGACAATCCACAATGGAGGCAGTGCGCGGTAAGGCGATTCACCAGGGGGATTTCCGATCATGCTACGATGGATTAAAAAGATTGGGATAAAATTCAAGCTGGCATAATGGGATTAGCTGCCCATCTGAACGCACTCTATCAGGTATCAAAGAAACACGGGGCAACGGGAGGGGGGAATGGAATTCAGACAACTCAGCCACTACAGACAGATGTTGCTGTCTGATCGTGCACTTTAAATCCATAAGGGGACAGCAAGGGGAATGAATCAAATTGCCCGTGTGAACGCAACCCTTGTTTCTGCGGCTTAATAGTGCAGTTCACAGTGGGAACATCATTACAAACTTCAACTGATTGAATAGATCTTTAATAGCCATGCTCTCTTTGTATAAGGGAACTCTGAGAATAGTTGTTCCATGAGGGGGGCTTGAAATCTCAAGCAGGGACTTCTCTGCACTCATCAAATGACAATTCCCAGGGTTCTTTGAGAGTGCAGGGACACAATATGAGTTGTGATATCAAATCGATATCAGTTTGTAGCAAGGATATACGTTTTGCTATTCTTGTAACAGACAGCCTGAGTTTGCACTATAAACCTCACATATCCCAAATGAAGGCTAGAAACCTACAACTAAAATATGACTGTTTTAGAATTTCCATTGTGTCTGTTACAGTTAATAACATCTTCTTGATTTAGAGATCAATTTAACATATTTGTCACAGTTTTGTACCTGGGGTAGTAGGTGCTGGTGAAGTGGTACTAAAGACAAATGTCGTGGAAGCTGTTGTGGAAGTTGGACATGGGAAGATGTTCCTCTCAACGGTTCCATTGCGGCTGCAGAATGCAGTGATGCAGCCTCCGATGCCGTCCGTCGTATTGTAGATGATCTCCCCGGGCTTGCTTTTCTGCCCTTCGTAGACGCAGTAGCATTCTGTCATTTGAAAAGATAATAGCATCACTAAGCATCTGAAAACGTCAATGACTGTTCCAGATTATCACAATTCACACTGAAAAGCCGCTTTGTCAACCTACCATCTTCGTTGTAGACACACTTCTTTTGGTCATTCATTACGCAGGTGCTGGAAGGGAATGAAAGAACACCACATTTTGAAGGTAGTTAAAATAAGTATTCGCCACAAGGTATAGATCGGAACTCTCAGGCTGGGGCAAGTGATGCACTGTATTCTTGGTGCTTGGAGGGGGCAACAGTGGGAGGGCTTCCTGGCCCCACTGCTGGACCTCCTGATGGCCCCTGGTATTTCTGGCCACTGTTGGACTAGATGGGTCATTGGCCCGATCCAACATTGACTTCTCTTATGTTCTTATGCAGGGGTCATTTCCTGCAGGAGCGCACAGAAGCGGAGCTCCGGCAGTAAAGAGCCCGGGGGGCGGGCACATGCAACAAGCCCCACCCCCTGCTCCCAGCAGCCCTCAGTCAGAGCAAGAAGCAGCCAGGTAAGTTGTAGAGCTCCCCCCGGCCCCCCGGCCCAAAACAGTCCAGTGGCACATGTAAGACCAGGTTTTATTCAGGTACAAGCTCTCCCTCCTCTGCGAGGGCAGATCTGCACGTCCCCCCCCCCCATAGCTAGCAATCCAAAACAGTCCAGTGGAGCCTGAACGGTGGGTGTTGCCTTCTCACACACTTCCGGTGATGTCAGGGGGTGTGGCATATGCAAATAAGTTATGCTAATGAGTTATGCTAATGAGCTCCTGCACCTCTTTTTCTACGAAATGACCCCTATTCTTATGTAAGTAGAATGTAAAACAGCAGCAGAAGCTACTGTATAAAATATTGAGCAAAGAACAGATAATACAGGCTCAGCTGCTTGTACGAGATACATGAAGACTCATATAATTTTTCACATTAAGAGGAATATTACCATGATTGACAGTTCTGCTCTGAAGGCATGTTTGCTCCTGGCTTGTAGTATTTTCCTCTATCATCAAAACAACCACAAGACTCGACACACTCCATGCCATCTTCTTCAAAATAAGGAGTCTTGTTTGGACACTGAGGATAGCAGCCTGCAATAAGAGAATTGGTTCTAAGTAATAATACTTGATTTATTTTTACACATGTGGACTTTGATTTGCTATTACCCCATAATGGAGGAGAAGAAGAAGAGATTGGATTTATACCCCGCCCTTCACTACCCAAAGGTGTCTCAGAGCGCCTTACAGACTCCTTTCCCTTCCCCTCCCCACAACAGACACCCTGTGAGGTCAGTGGGGCTGAGAGAGCTCTTGACAGAAACTGCTCTTTTTCAAGAACAGCTCTTATCAGAACTACGGCTTGCCCAAGGTCATCCAGCCAGGTGCAAGTGGAGGAGTGGGGAATCAAACCCGGTTCTCCCAGATTAGAGTCCGCGCACTTAACCACTACACCAAACTGGCTCTAGTGATAGTGATAGTTTCTTCAGTTAATTAAGATGGTGTTCTACAGTATGTAAACACACAGGCAGTTTCCAGGGTGGTGATCTTCTCAAGCTGCCCGATGGTATGGCTCGATCTCAGAGCCAGGCCCAGGCCCACAACCACGGCCGTTGGTGGTAGTGGTAGGGCGCCTCCTTAGTTGAAAGCCTGGTGGAAGAGCTCCATCTTGCAGGCCCTGCGGAACTGCAAAAGATCCCGGCAGGACCCTGATCCGGGAGCTCATTCCACCAGTATGGAGCCACCACTGAGAAGGCCCTGGCCGTGGTGATAGCAAGCCTGGTATCCTTGGGTCCCGGGAGGGTCAATCGGCTCTGAGACCCCGACTGTAGTGCTCTCTGTATTGGGTCCCCACTGGGGAGAAAAGTGGGGCATCAGTGTCTAAATAAATAGTCCTGGATGTCATGTTGATTCAGTCTTGCTGGCCTCCACAGATTTTTACCATAAGCCTGCGCCGTCGTTATACTCCAGTCCCAAATGCTAGTAATATGATATTTCAATTAATCACATTTTTAGGAAAATGGTAATATTCTGCTTATTATTCAACTGATTTGCTATAAAATTATTTTATATTCTAAAGTCTTGAATGTATTTGTTCCTCTGATTTACTGTTTGCTCCCCTTTCGATCATTATCCTTCTCAGGGGTCGTTTCCTAGAAAAAGAGCTAGGGGAACTCATTAGCATAACTCATTAGCATATGCCACACCCCCTGACATCACCGGAAGTGTGTCATAAGACCACACCCACCACTCAGTTAGTCTTAGTCTTAAAGGTTAATCTTAAAGGTGCTATTTGTTAGTCTTAAAGGTACTATTTGAACTCTTGGACTATTTTGCAGCAACAGACTAACACAGCTATCTCGGGGAAGCTCCTGGATGGGGCTGGGAGTCCTTGCGGAGGCCACGTGGAGTGGCCTCGGCCAGGCAGAGGGGAAGGACGCCAACTTACCCTCCTGCTTCTTCCTCCTTCTGCAACAGAATGAGGTTGGAAGACGGGGGCGGCCGGAAGAAGGGGCGGGGCTTCGTCGTGTGCCCTGCCTCCCTGCACCTCACCCGGGGGAACTGCGATCCCCCGCGATCCCCCCCGAAATGACCTCTGATCCTTCTATACCCGGATGCCTCTCTATAATTTTAGCCAGGTGTATGGTGCTGAAAAGGGACCGGGCAACTTTACGTCCCTTATCTGATACCCCAAATAGACCACCTGGTTTCCATATTTCCAGGGTATTGATCATTCCACTTTTAGACACCGTAGTGTGTAGAAAGTCAATTAATATTCAGAAATCATAAGTATCCTTTGTATGCCAAGGGCAAAGTCAATAATCCTTGTACCTTCCAAGCCCTGTAACTCATGTAGGCATTTTCCACTTGGATTTCTGCAGGTCTTCATACAAGGAGAGCCACAAGGTTTGTAGTGCCACTCACACTCCCCTTGTGGATTGTAGTAATCACAGAACAGAGCTAGAGGAATGGGGAAAGAGAAAAATGTCAATTCCAAGCAAAATGCATTTTTGATGCCACGTAATACATTTCCTTACACTGTGTGTACATCCCGTATTATTACTGTCTTGCAAAGCGGTAACTGCTAGTAGGGTTCCTGGTTCCCCTTTGACATCCTTATCCAAACAGATTATTTTCTACACAATTGTACATTGAACAAGGTGGTGAGATTACATCTCAACGGGCCCTGACTCTAATCCTGCCAAAACGAGTTAGCAATTTTTGTTGTTCTGTTAGCTGCCTTTGCTGGCTCTTCGGCTTTGAAACGGAGATGAGCACCGCAACCCTAGAGTCGGATTCGACTGGCTTTCGAGCAAGGGAACCTTTACCTTTACTTTTTTAGCTGCCTTGAATTGAAGGAGATGTGGGCTAGAAGTATTTTAAGTACAATTCTAGAACAGTTGAAAATAGACCCCCAAAAAAGGAATGAGAATAAAAAGTACACAAGAAATCTTTTAAAAGCTAACACCTATTTTATGGGTAAGGCCTGTTCTCTGATTTAATCTGGAGACAGCAATGTCACCACAATATTGCCTTTATTTGTGATTCAGATTAAGGAACATTTGTTCTGTGTATGTCCGTCTGGCGTGGGCGAAGAGAGGGTTCTTCTTGGTGAACCAAAACGGCATGGGAAGTAAATATGTCACCAGTCTCTCTGACACAGTCTTGAAGGCTCAAATGTTACCAGAGCAGTGAGGAATGGCAACCACGTGGTTCTCAGGATTTAAGAACTGGCCATTGAGATTCAATTCTTGCAATAGTAGGGGGCACTCAGAAGAAATATCTGTCCCGTTAAATTGAAATGGAAAAGTCACATTGTGGTGGAATCAGTGAATCAAAAGTTGACGAGAAGAGCCCTGACCTGGATACCCCAGGCAAGCCCGATTTCGTCAGATCTCGGAAGCTAAGCAGGGCCGACCCTGGCAAGTACTTGGATGGGAGACCTCCAGAGAATACCAGGGCCTGGAGGCAGAGGCAGGCTATCAAGCTACTTCTCTGAATGTCCTCCATGCCCCAGTAGGAGTCACCAGAGGTCACCGTGACTTCCAGGCAGGGACACACACATACAAGCTGATGTGAAAAGTGGAATACAAAATATATACATTATTTGCATCCCTTCATTCTCCTTGGTGTTTAGGCATGCCGGCCACATGACCACGGAAATGTCTTTGGATAGCGCTGGCTCTTCGGCTTTGAAACGGAGATGAGCACCGCAACCCTAGAGTCGGATTCGACTGGCTTTCGAGCAAGGGAACCTTTACCTTTACTATTCTCCATTTGCAGTTGCCAGAAGGAACAAGTTGCATAGGTAGGATTCATAGGGCTCTTTTTGTAGCAGGAACTCCTTTGCATATTAGGCGACACACCCCTAATGTAGCCAGTCCTCCAAGAGCTTACAGTAGCCCCTGTAAGAAGAGCTCTGTAAGCTCTTGGAGGATTGGCTATATTAGGGGTGTGTCGCCTAAGATGCAAGGGAGTTCCTTCTACATTCTCATTCCCATTGGTCAAATGTACAATTTCTTTTTAAAAAACACACAAAAACCACACAATTCCATATAAATTATGGTCAGTACTCACGGCAGATGGACGGTGTTCTCCAAGCAACGCAAACACCAGCCTCGTTGCATGCCTGAGCATAGGCCGCTACAGCCGTGCAGAAACATTCACAATCTCCCCCAGTGTCACAAGCACAGGCATCAGACACACATGTGTCGTAGTATTTTGTTGGCTCAACCTGTTAGGAAACCAAATAGATCTCACTTAATATTTGTGTATGCGCTTTCAGCTTTCGCACACCTTGGCCAGAGAAGGAAAGGGACATTTTAAAGCTTTTCAGTCCCAGTTCAGCCACGAGAATATAATTTGTTACTTTAGTTGATGTTTTTTGTTTTCAGGTCGCATGAGCCTTCATGATAACAGAACTGCATGCAAAAGCAATTTGTTATAATAAGAAATAGAACTGTTTTTGAAACATCAAATGGATATGAGAAGGTTATGCATCGTCAAGCATTAGTAACTGCCAGGGAAAATAGTTTGGCAAAGAGGCAGTGCATTCATGGAGGGGGGAAAAATGAAATTGGATGACAAATCATCCATCAGGTGTGTTAATGTCAGAGTCTTACTGTGCTGGGGAGCCTAGCGGTTGTGGGCTTTACTCGTGACTTTCTTTTTTACCAATTGGTAGCTGGTAGCATTTTTAAGTCAGCAAGGCAATTTTTATTCATCTGACTTTAAAAGGAGAAGTAACTGCCAACAGTGTTCCCTCTAAGCTGAGTTAGTGTGAGCTAGCTCACAGGTTTTTTTAGCCTCCAGCTCACATATCTTCGCCTTTGCTCAGGAAGGATGGCTCCAGAGCAAACTAATTTCTGCAGCGGCCAAATCGCTTGCTCACAACTTGAAAGCCAGTAGCTCACAACGCAGAATTTTTGCTCACACGACTCCACGGCTTAGAGGGCGCATTGACTGCCAATATTGCTAAAGGTAGTATTAATACACTGCAACAGCTTTGCTCATCTGAGCAAGGTCTTTCAAAGATGCCATCAAGCAAATATGTAATATTAACAGCTGGTCGAACTTGAACTTTCTTTGTTGTGGCCCCACCTGGTGGAATAACCTGCCTGACAAAGTTAGGAAGGCTCAGACATAACTGTAATTCTGCAGAATGTGCAAATTGGAATTGTTCAGGAAGGCATTTTTATAACGTTGACAGTGCTTTAGCTTTAAAGTCTATAACATTTTTCTTGATCGATTTGATTCTATTTATTGTTTGTTTTTCTTGTATTTCTTGTATTATTATTTTTTTTTGGTAAACTGCCTTGAATCTCTGTAAGAAAGGCAGTAAAAAGTTAAGTAAGTAAATATATAACACTGCTTTAGCCTGAAGCAGTCTTAGGACCCGGTCACACGTAAGGGTTTGGAGGGACAGATCGGGGGTGCAGCAAATGGGTGCGATCGCACCGCAACATCTGGGAAGCGGCGCGCACCCGTCCCTGTTCCGGCCCTTCAGGCCGAAAACCCGCTGCAAAAAAGAACCACCCCTAGAGGTGGACTTACCAGAAAGGCCACGGCAAGCGCAGCCGTGGGATCACTGGCGCATCCTTCTGCCGGTGCATCCGAAGCTCCTGGCCGAACTGCGCATGCTCACACATGCGCAGTTTGGCAGCCTCCCTCTCTGTTTCGTGGCTTTCTCCCCGGTCTCCCCAGCATCTGATCGTGCCGGGGAGAAAGTGTGCGGCGGCTCACGGGATCTGTGTGATCCCGCTGCTGCGTGCCTATTTTGGTGCGGCTTTCAAAAGCCGCACTTGGCCCACGCATCCCCCCCTCCCGTGTGGCAGGGACCTTAGTATGTTCTGGTTAAATATACTGGGGAAAATACTGGATGAGTTTACCATTCATGCAGACAGCTTTTTAATATATAGATTAGAGCCTTAATGATGTTTTGCAGCTGAAGAATGGCATATGAGAATTAATAATTAATACTCCTCAGTTTTTTTAATGCTGATGTTTTTAAGACCAAGAAAGGACCTGGATCACCAGGATAGGTGTCCATGTCTTCAGGGCTGCCTTTGAGATCAAAGTCAGCCTTAAAGGTGGGGCCATTTCACATATCTTCAGGGCTCCTGCTAACTGTACTGCAACGTAAAGAGTTCAATCAATCAATTTATTTCTACAGTCCTTAGACCAGTCAGACAAAAAGAAGTACACCTTCACAATATTCCAAGATTTTAAGATACATCAGTGACACATTAGAAGCAAATTAAAATGTAATCTAATATCAAACAACTACATCTAACTAGCTACCTTAGAGTTTCCGTGATCTGAGTATCACCATACAGAAATTGGCTACTTGGTGGGTAATTTTGATGTAAAGAGTTCTATGCTACAAGGAAATGGTTTGTAACTTACTGCTTAGTCAGATGTGCCAAAGAATGGCCTGTTCCCCCAAACGTAGAAACCCGCTAAAAGAAGACTACTTAAGATCTTTTGTGTCAGAGTTACAAAACCCTGGAACTGAAGCTAAGCTATGTGCTTGCGATATCATGGCAATGCCCTTCAATGTTCCCTCTAAGCTGTGGAGTCTTGTGAGCAAAAATTCTACTTTGTGAGCTACTGGCATTAAAGTTGTGAGCGAGCGACTTGGCTGCTGCATAAATTAGTTTGCTCTGGAGCCCTCCTTCCCGAGCTACGACAAAAATGTGTGAGCCGGAGGCTAAAAAACTCTGAGCTAGCTCACACTAACTCAGCTTAGAGGGAACACCGATGCCCTTGCAATTTCAGGGTGACATTTTATGTTGGTGCTGTGGTTTATGCTTCCATTCATGTCCTACACATTTACATGCAGTCCCGAGACTAAAATCAGGGCTGTTAAAGTGGCCCATACATTTACCTGAAGGGAAAAAAGGTGTCCATACCTGAGAGTGGCAGGAAGCGAACACTTGGCTGGTAATGATGCTGCATTGCTTCTGGGCCCACGAATTCCTGTATGGGTTTGCAGTACAAGGATCCCTGTTCTTTTTGGCATCTGGGCAAGTGGGAGATGCCTTCCAGCTGTTACCAAACTCAAGCACATCTCCTACAACGGACTGGCTTCTGGTGGTGAAATCATTAATGTCATTTCCATCATAGTTTCCACAAAGTCCACATACCTGACCCTGTTGCGGAGACAAGAACAAAATAATAAGTAGATGTTTTAGTTTTCCATGATTAATCAAAAACATTCATTTCAAGTTTGAAGATTACTTATGTATAGGCATCCTTACCAATCTTTGTAAATTCTGCCCCCCCCCCCATAATGGCTTTTTACTTAATTAACAATGGAGCAGATAACTCATAGGTTGTGTTCAGACTGGCAGTTTGGCCCGATATAGGCACATTTTACAAACAGATTAAATGAACAGGATCACACAGCCACATCTGTCAGGCATTCCCTGGGCATACCCACCCCATCAGAGGACGACTTGGAGCCGGGTTAAAAAGCCACCACCTCCGTAGTGGTGTTTTGTTTCCCCACGCATTCAATGCGCATGGCCGGATGTCTGAACAGAATGGATTTGGCAGTCTGAACCTGCAGACCCATTCGGCCACTACGGAGGTGGTTTTTTAAAAAGACTTGCCTATGTGCGCATGTGTGCGCATGCGCACTATGCACACACATGGTGTTTGGATTTTTTTTTGCCGTTTGCTCCGTGGCTGAGGTGCCACAATAATGTGGATGCTTTACCATGGGATGTCTCCGTGGGTAACCCACAGCAGGATGTGCTGTGTGGCTGATGTATCCCACTACACTTTAACCCGGTTCAATTCGAGGCGGCACCATATCACACCAAGCCGCCAGTGTGATCACAGCCATATATTCCTTTATATGTATAGATCTGCTTTGAAATTAATGGAAAGTCACATAATAAAGCACATGTAGGGCTCTCTACCAGTAATTTACTTAAATGTGGATTCGTAAAATAAGTAAACATTTTTATTGTTTGGACATGTAAAAATGAGTCAATATCTGTAGCAATGCGAAGGATGCCACTTTTGTCAAAGATGATCATATATTTTCTTGAAACTCTCTGTTCCCTAAGGGTCTTTTCTATATTGCGACACATTTTATTCTGTGAGCAATTTCTAAGAAATATATAGCTCTTTCCCATAAAATCAATCACTGCTTACTATAAATGCATAAGAAATGGAAAATGCAGAAAAATTAAATGGCCTAGCACGAGAAATGTAGGAAATCTCCAATCGAGGAATTTGTGTGGGTGATTTCCCACAAGCGCTGCTCCGTGCTCACTCTTCTCTTTGGCCCAATGGTACGTGTCAATTTCACACAAGCTGCTGGGCGACAGCAATTTGCCCCGCAGCTTCCTGCGATTTTCCCCACATCTACTCAATCCTGTTTTTTGAGGATTGAGTAGACGCGGGGAAAATCACACGAAGCTGCGGGGGCAAAATGCGGCCCGCAGCAGCTTGTGTGAAATTGACACGTACCATCGGGGCAAAAGAGAGGAGTGAGCGCGGAGCAGCGCTTGTGGGAAATCACCCAGTGTCTGAAACTAAGCTACTGTTCTACTTAGTTGAACCTTTCAATAGGACTCTCTTAAGTGTTCTGAAGCAGAGTTAGCTGTGTCTCAGATGGAAAATCCTTTAATCTTTTGTGTCCATCACACTGTTTCTGATGCCTGTCCATTCCTTTGGCTATTACAGCAAAGAATCATTCATAAACCAAGTGGCCAGAGGAGGGAGCAAGACAAATTAACTGTCACATCTTTGTACTGCCTGGGTATAATTCATCTATTTGTCGATTTGGAGGGTAAATGTCTACCATGGAACTTATAAGAGTGCAGATTGACAACATTTACCCATGAACATATTTCCAAAACAGTTTTGACATTCTTTTTCACAGCTGATTCTAGGAATACGTGCCAACGTCTTAGCATTCACACCTCACCTTAAATTCTGGACTAAGTTTGATGAAGATGCTGGTTTGCTTGTCCCACATCAGGACCAGACCAGCTGTCGTGTCAACCACCATGTAGATGCCCATGTATCGAACTTTGTATGGCACTTCACCGCCTGGGGCTCTTTGTATCACATCAAATTTGCCGTCTGTGAGTATTAGCTCATAATTCTGCAAAATGAAAAGAGTCAACACAGATGTCTCATTGGCATTGTCTATACTGGGAGTCTTCAATAGTGTTTTCCCCCCCACTGTGGTAAACCCTGCCAGGCTGAAGGAAACTTTTGAAATAACAATGTTGTATATTTACAATGCAGTCTAACTTGCAGCTCTATTTATGAAGTACTATTTATGAAGTTCTACAGGCCAGATAATGAAACTGAAGCTCAAATACATTGGCCACCCAATGAGAAGGGAGCACTCAGTGGAGAAGACCCTGATGCTAGGAAAGACTGAAGGTCAAAGAAGACGGGGACGGCAAAGGATGAGATGGTTAGACAGTGTCATAGATGCAACGAACATGAAACTGAGCAAACTTCAGAGGACGGCGGAAGACAGGAGGGCCTGGTGCGATCTTGTCCATGGGGTCGCGAAGAGTCAGACTCGACTGTGCGACTGAACAACAACAACAACAGGTACTTGTTTCTACAGGTGCTTGTTTCTTTGCTGTTTGTGGCTGGGACTCAAAATACTGCTTAGGCTTTTGCTGCCAAGTCAAATTTTGTCAAAATGTAAAATTTCTGACAAGCAGACCTCCATGCCAAAATCTCCCATTAGTTTAAAAACAGTTGTCTTGCAGCACAGTTTGTGGGGAGAGGATGGAGTTTAAGAAGAATATAGCTAAAGCCCTCTTGGGCTTATGAAACTAATGTCATGGTTTTTTGGATGCTACCAGGGGTCATTTCGTAGAAAAAGAGGTGCAGGAGCTCATTAGCATAACCTATTGGCATACCTTATTTGCATATGCCACACACCCTGACATCACCAGAAGTGTGTCAGAAGGCAACACCCACTGCTCAGGCTCCACTGGACTGTTTTGGATTGCTAGCTATTGGGGGGGGGGACATGCAGATCTGCCCTCGCAGAGAAGGGAGAGCTTGTACCTGAATAAAACTTGGTCTTAAAGGTGCCACTGGACTGTTTTGGATGGGGGGCCAGGGGGGGCCTCTGCAACTTACCTGGCTGCTTCTTGCCCTGACTGAGGGCTGCTGTGAGCAGGGGGTGGGGCTTGTTGCATGTGCCCGCCCCCTGGGCTCTTTACTGCCGGAGCTCCGCTCCTGTGCGTTCCTGCAGGAAATGACCCCTGGATGCTACCCAGTGAAGTGCAATGAAACCTCTCTTATCTGTGTAGTATGTACCTGGGCCTGTCTTTATTCTGCATGTCAGTACTGATGCCCCTTTTAAATTAAGCTATTCTGTGTTCTGCTTCAAGATTTTCTTCTGCTGTAGGCTGATGTCTAGTTCCAGCTCCTGCCAACCTAGCAGTTCGAAAGCAAGAAATTGCAAGTAGATAAATAGGTACCACTTCGGTGGGAAGGTAACAGCGTTCCGTGTGCCTTGGTGTTTAGTCATGCCGGCCACATGACCACAGAAATGTCTTCGGACAGCGCTGGCTCTTCGGCTTTGAAACGGAGATGAGCACCGCAACCCTAGAGTCGGATTCGACTAGCTTTCGAGCAAGGGGAACCTTTACCTTTACCTTTTTAGGCTAATGTCACATATCCCAAGATTGTTTAGGTGCACAACACCTATGGTATATGTCACCTTTCTGGATGATCCTCAGTGAAGCTACTTACTCCCATAAACACTTTAATGGCCTTTGAGCAGGTGGTCCCAGTAGTCCCACAGGGAATGTTTTCCGTGATGACTCTGAAAGTTCCTGCCTTTGAGCTGTTTTTACCACAATGATCCTGAGAAGAAAGACATTATTCAGTGTTCAGAAACACAGACAAACTAAACTGAAGGTTTTTAGTGTCATGGTAGTGGTTCTTGAGGAAAAAAACACTGAATACCTGGACCAATGTGTATTCGCAGTCTCCACTGAAGCTGTAGCGTTTGCCATCGAAGGAGATGTAATGGCCGTCTCCATAAACTGAGCATGTCGCCAGGCAAGGTTCGTTGGTGCATTCCCACATTCTTTTCTTACATGTACTGCAGAAGCAGAAAGAAATATGTAACTACTATGTTTCCTGCCACATGTGCTCAGTGCTTCTGATTCATTTTGATACTTTCAGTTCTGTTTCTAAAAAGCCATGGAATAACGATAAAGATGATGCTCATCTGCTAGTACATACCAAGTGTTACATTTCACCTTGATGGTATCTCCTGATTTATATATGGCTTCATTGTGAATACAAGGGCACTCTTCAGCAGCTACACATCCACCTTTGCCATCTGAGACCAGTTCATTGGGGCACATGCAGCCAGAAACGCATTGTGTGCTATACTATAATAAGAGAAGATGGACACTATTAAAATACTGGATAGACAAAGGATAAATCCACACATAACCAAGGCTTTTTTTGTAGAAAAAGCCCAGCAGGGACTCATTAGCATAACAGGCCACACCCAACAGCAGAAACATATTAGCATATTAGGCCACACCCCTGACAGCACAGCTCATTAGCATATTAGGGCACACCCCCATGTTACCAGAAGCGTGCTCATCCAGCCACACCCACCTTTTGCTTCTTATTCTGTTTACCTTGTTTGTTGTCAAAACCCAGGGCTTTTTTTGTAGCAGGAACTCCTTTGCATGTTAGGCCACACACCCCTAATGTAGCCAATCCTAATGAGTTCCTGCTGTTGGGTGTGGCCTATTATGCTAATGAGTTCCTGATGGGCGTGGCCTGCCTGCTGAGCGTGGCCAACTCAGGAGCCAGCCGGAACTCCATTCCTGTGCCTTCCTGCCCAAAAATAGCCCTGCACATAACCATTAGTATCAGCCTTTCCCAGTGAGCCACCAATGACCAGTTCATTTTTCCTGTCTAATGCAGGTGAAATTGCTTTAAAGTTACTCTTTCAGAGGAGTTTTGCGATGTTGAACTCTTCTTGAGAACAATCCAAAAAACATCTAGAGTGTGATTTGGCAAATTCTAGAAGAATGTCCGTGTTATGACTCAGAGTATACCACATTACTATCTTGACATGTGTTTATTAAATCAAATTGTGGCATGATGTCCATATAAACATTTGTTCTGTGGGTCACCCCCCCCCCATCACATCATCACCTACCAGTTTGGCTCCAATTTTGCAGTATCTGCCTGAGGCGACAGAAGGCTGTGCTGTCTGGAAACTGGCACTAGCACTTTTGTACATTCACTGCAGTTACTGAGTGGTATGCATGACGAATAAACAGGCTATCAAAGCAAGACAGGGTTACAAAATATTTACCCTCACGCATTCCATGTCAAGTGTCTGACAGCTCTTCTGACACTCAGCTCCGGTGACCCCTGCTGTGGCATTGCGGCAGTCGAAATAGATCATGGGAGCATCACACACTGATAGAAAGAAAGTATAGATGCAATCTCAGTTTTAGTCAGATGCTAGTTAGTACAAGAACACACACCATTACCAACATTTCACATAGGAAAACACTGGCTCTTATGCCAAACCTTAGATTTTGAGGATTCCAGTAACATGTACCCCTGTATTTGTCTCAGTTGTGTATGTGGAAGTACGTGCAGATCTCCCATACTTGATTGGTACAGCTGCCTTCACTGTTTTAGTACAATAAAGGCCCCGGTCACACGGAGAATTTGCCACGCGAAAGGCATGAATGTCGGGTGGATTTTCGGGGCACGATCACACCGCAACATCAGGGAAGCATAGTGCACCCGTGGTCAACCTGTGGCGTCCCGCCGAAGATGCAGAGTTACAAAGTACCAAAGAAAGTGCACTAGTATCCAGAAAATACACGGCACAGGTGGGCGTCTGATTGCGGGAGCGCTAGTATCCCGTGGCATCCAGTGCCTGTCCACATCCCATCGCAAACCGGATGTTTTTCGTAAGCGCATGCGCACAAACACGACACTGAAAGCAGTGCTGCTCTGCGGAACTGTGCATGCGCAGAAACGCGAAACGCTTGTGTGATCGTGCCATGCCGCTTCTTTGCCACGCTGCAGCATCGCTGTGTGATCGCCAGCTAACAGCCGAAGCACGGAGACTCGGGGGACCGTGTGATCGGGCTACCGCGCTTTATTTTGCTCCGGGGCGAACAGCCACGCCTCCCCCCTGCATTATCTGGGCCGTGTGACCGGGGCCAAAGATCACTTAAAAGTAGCAATGCAAATAGGTAATAAAAATGATGCTTTTACCTGGTTCTGGCTTCACCTCTCCAATGCACTGAAGCTTTCCTTGTGTGCAAGAGCTGTAACAGAGAGGGGGGACATCTTTTCTTAGTTAAATCAAGAGCTAAGCCAGCCCAATCTTGTCAGAGCTCAGAAGCAAAGCAGGGTCATCCCTGGTTAGCATTTGGATGGGAGAACACCAAGGAATTCCAGGGTCACAATTCAGGGGCATGCATTGGCAAACCACCTCTAAGTCCATGGGATCACTGTAAGTTGGCTTGGCAGCGAACCAAAAAAAGGGCACAGCAAAATGGCGGAAGCCATCTTCTTCCTGTGACACTGATTAATTTCTATTATATATATATATATATATAAAGATTTTATTTTCATCTTCATAATAAAGAACAACATACTTCCACGCTACATATTTCATCACGATCGCTTATGGAGTCTATTGTTATACATCTACATTAATCCATTTATACAGACGCTTCCATCTTTCTGTAAACACTTTTTCATCCTTTCCTTGGAGAACTCAACTCAACTTATCCATCTCTGCTGTTTCTAACAACCTATGTACTAGGTCATCCAGTTTCGGTATATACTCTTGTTTCCAAAATTTGGCTACCAAAATCCTTGCAGTTGTCAATATATAAATTATCAGGTATTTATCTTTCCATCTATAACTCTCTGGTAACATATTCAGCAGTACCACTTCCGGGGCTAACTCTATTTCAATCTTAGTTATTTCGAAAATTGTCTTCTGCACCATCTTCCAAAAATTATGGATCTTTGCACACCGCCACCACATATGGATCTATAAAATATTTTTATGGGTTGTCATTATTCCTGTCACCTCATGCCAATGTTTCATTCAAATAATCTCTTACCAAATGACGCCATTTTCATGAATTACGTCTCCAGACGGTAGGGGAGACCCTTTATAGTAACAAGGGCAGCTAGTAGCAGGTATACATTTGCCACTTTCATCCATGTATGTCCCCTCTTCACAGGTGCATCCGTCCACCGAGGTGAACTCAATATTGCAGGTGACATCAGGCTCACTCAGAGATCGGCAGGTGGGTTGGCATGAATCGATGTTATAGCGGTAAACCAGGGTTTTGGGACATACTTGGTATTTGGCTTGAGAGAAGAAAAATAAAAATCATTCATAGGGTTTACCTAAGGATATATATATACAAAGAGCTGAATGTGGTCAAGATAACCTATATCCAAAAATATTTGTTGGGTGGTTATAGATGTGTATTCTCTGTTAATGGCAGTAGCAGTTTGAACTGCATGTAACTCAGAAAAGAGAGGTTACAGGTTGCCCAGAACATGAAGACTGGTTCGGAATGCACAAGAAAAGACTTTACTAACAATAAGCCAAAGGGACACTACTAATACACTAACAGTTATTGTTTTTCACAGGTCAAGATGAAAGATGATTGACAACTTGCAGATGAAGCCAAAAGAAGATTTGTTTAATACTAACAAAAGATTAACATACTAATGAAAATATCACCCAATCTCTTCTTAATCCCACTATATACCCTCCCTCTTTCTGATATTAAAAGCATAAACTCTCTCCTTTTTAGGAGAGTCAATTAAAAAAAAAGAAAGAAAAGAGAGGTTACAGGTCCAAGTGTGGACTTATGCTAGAGGTGCCTTATCTGGTGTGGCCATTCCATGGATTTTATTTGGTTTTTTTCAAACTGAGTTACATTATTCCAGATATATCTTTAAGCCTCATCCTTGAAAACTAATCATTTCGCAATGCATGTATCTTAGTATCTTCTCTAAAAATGTGCCCGTTTCCCCTCATTTCTAATACAGAGCTGACAAAGGTATTTTGTTGTGACTGAAGGGAGAAATAAGCAGGTGCTCATTTATTCATGTAATAGTATTGGGTATCTGTTGGCCTTTGCCACTTAGCGGTTGTATAGAAATATTGATTTCTAAAAGTCTCCTGCCTTCTCCTGTGATGTCTTTCTGATAACAGGCTGTGCCTTATTTCCTGTTGCAAGCCAAATGGTGGGCCAGATGGCCTGAACAACTTTATAACCCACATTCTTCAGCGGTTTAACCAAGAACTATAGTTTCCCCCTGCCCACCCTGCAGTTCATCTTCATAGCCCCATCCCATCTCCTAGGCAAGACTTGGGGAAAACTGCTATGGGATTTTCAAGAAAACGACGGCGATCCTCCAAGAAGCCAGCAAGTACCACTAACCTTTTGCACGGGATAACTTGAAAACAGCATCCGCAGTTTGCTTATAAACAAATTTCTTTTCTGAGTTAGAAACTTCTGTGCATAGTTCAAATACTTACTGCAGATGTTGGTCCTCCATCCGCTCAGAAGGACTCCTTTGGCAGCACAGGCCCTGACGTAGGCGGAGAGGGAAGCGCACAAGCAGTCCTCGCTTCTCTCGCAGTTGCAGGTGTCAAACATGCAGTTCTAAGAGCACAGAGAAGACCAATTCATATTAATCTACCTCGCGTCTCCCTGAGAAAGGTGGGCTGCAAATAAATAAATGAAGAACTAAAACAGTTCCCCCAGTGACATTTCGTTTCAAGCATTCCTATGAGGCACCGTTCAAGGAATGTTTAGGTTTTATTTCATGAAGTGGACAAATTCCATTTTGATCTTTGCTTTTATGTCTCTCTGTGTGTGGGGTGGGGTGGGGGGGGGAGAATTGGCTTTCACTGTATAAGCATATCGAAGCCAGTCCATATTTTGGGTAATGCGGCTGCCACTAATACACATCTCACCCATATTTTTTCCTTGTAATGCTTTGTAAAAATGAAAAGATAGAGCCACGGGAACTGTGTAAAGTGCGCTCAATGTTTCTTTAACGATAGCAATAATGTTATAAATATGAAAATTACAAAAGTGATACTAACACATTCAAATTGTAAATCCAGTTACATAAGATAGAAGATAATAACGACGGCGGGACGGTAGTCTCCGGAATGTGATGCAGTTTCGACAAGCGTCTTCTTCTGACCAAGAATCTATAAGCTTATACATGATATAATACATATGAACATTAGTACTTACATCTTAGGTAATTGTACAACAAAATTTAAAATAAATTTGGTACAAAACCTTACTAGATGATGTGCGGAAAATGTGTGGCATCTAGTAAGGTTTTGTACCAAGTTTATTTTAAATTTTGTTGTACAATTACCAAAGAACATAAGAACATAAGAGATGCCAATGTTGGATCAGGCCAAAGGCCCATCTAGTCCAACACTCTGTCACACAGTAGCCAAAAATTAAGATGTAAGTACTAATGCTCATGTGTATTATATCATGTATAAGCTTATAGATTCTTGGTCAGAAGAAGACGCTTGTCGAAACGGCATCACATTCCGGAGACCACCGTCCCACCGTCGTTGTTATCTTCTATCTTATGTAACTGGATTTACAATTTGAATGTATTAGTATCACTTTTGTAATTTTCATATTTATAACATTATTGCTATCGTTAAAGAAACATTGAGCGCACTTTACACAGTTCCTGTGGCTCTATCTTTTCATGTCTACGGACTGTGACCATATTTGTCTTTGTACATGCTTTGTAAAAAGACACCATGAGGGGTGTCAGAGTCAGCATTTCCCCAACCCTCTTCCTCCGTTTAATAGACCATGGCTTGCAAGAGACAGAGGCTGTGATCACACTGGCGGCTTGGCGCGATAGGGTGCCGCCTCTAATTGAACCGGGTTAAAGTGTAGTGGGATATATCAGCCACACAGCACACCCTGCTGTGGGTTACCCATGGAGACATCCTGTGGTAAAGCCTCCACATTATTGTGGCACCGCAGCCACGGAGTGAACTGGGGGAAAAAATAAATCCAAACATCATGCGTGTGTGTAGTGCACATGCGCATGCGCACATAGGCAAGTCTTTTAAAAAATCGCCTCCGTAGTGGCAGAATGGATCTGCAGGTTCACGCTGCCAAATCCGTTCTACGCGCACTCCCCCATGTTCAGACCTTGCACAATGAATGCGCGAGGAAACAAAAACGCCACTTTGGAGGTGGTGGCTTTTTAACGCAGCTCCAAGTCGTCCTCTGACGGGGTGAGTATGCCCGGGGAACGCCTGACAGATGTGGCTGTGCAATCCTGCCCATTTAATCCGTTTGCAAAACGTGCCTCTATCGGGCCAAACTGCCAGTCTGAACACAACCAGAGAAAGGCAGATTCTGATGGACTCTCATCATGCATTCCTTTTATTCCCTGGGAGTTGTATGGGTGGATTCTGAAGCAAAGCCACTCCAAAGAAGTCCACTTAGCCCCTAACTTTTGTTATAAATCAATGATACTACTTGGAGTTTACCCCTTTACTGTAGAGTGTGTGCCTATATCTATGAGTAATCTAAAACCAGGCATATTTGTAATTGCACTGTACTGATCATGTTAAAATACTGCAGTGGGGGTTGGGTTACACAGAAATTAACTGTTAAACCACATAGGATCTTTGAAGGGAAAAACATTTCCTGCTAGCATCCAAATGTTATGTTCTTTGTCATAAGCTGACAAGCATTGTTACCTAGCACACAGGGTGAAATGAGATGTTTGCATTTAGTAGCGGAGCAAGAAATGCATATGTTGTATTACATGACACGGGGATTAATAATGGCACTTGGAAGCCTGACAGAAGGTAAATTCAGCACCTTATCCAGATTGGCAAGTTATTTTTAAATTTTTACTTGCACTTCAAAGGAAAAGTAGTTGTTGGGTACCGTGTGGTAAGCAGCTGGGTTTACAATGGCGTGGCACTTCTGAAAAGGTCCATTGCTGTCTGTCAGCAGTCCACACCAGTGCTGAGCATATTTTTCTGTGAGTGCAAGACATAAAAACAGGCTGTGCTTTAGAACTCATTAGAAGAGCTATGTGAAGAAGAAAATGAGGAAGAGGATGAGGGGATGATTGGATTTATACTCTACCCTTCACTACCCAGAGGAGTCTCAGAGCGGCTTACAAATGCCTTTCCTTTCCCTTCCCCTCCCCACAACAGACACCCAGTGAGGTTGGTGGGGCTGAGAGAGCTCTGACAGAAACTGTTTTTTTCAAGAACAGCTGTGCCAGAACTATGGCTTGCCCAAAGTCATCCAGCAGGCCCAAGTGGAGGAGTGGGGAATCAAACCCGGTTCTCCCAGATTAGCGTCCGCGCACTTAACCACTACACCAAACTGGCAGTGATGATGGTGGCAAAGAAATTCTACTGTTCTGCTACTAATGCATCATTGAGTTCCCATCTAGCTCAGCTGTTTAAAACACCTGGCCCATTGTTGATGCCAACGTCTTAAATGCCCAGGAACTGACAATTAGCTGAAGAAGAAGAAGAAGAAGAGATTGGATTTATACCCCGCCCTTCACTTGGAGTCTCAGAGCGGCTTACAAACTCCTTTCCCTTCCCCTCCCCACAACAGACACCCTGTGGGGTGGGTGGGGCTGAGAGAGCTCTGACACAAACTGCTCTTTTTCAAGGACAGCTGTGCCAGAGCTTGTGACTGACCCAAGGTCACATCAGCAGGCCCAAGTGGAGGAGTGGGGAATCAAACCCGGTTCTCCCAGATTAGAGTCCATGCACTTAACCACACACCAAACTGGCTCTCTCTTTTGCACTTTTTGCAAAGTTCTTTGCTGAGAAAATCTCTCAAACATGGTCTGATTTGCACACTGGCTGCAATACAGCTGAGACACTAGTCGCCTTCAACATCCCTTCGAGGGATCACTTCGATCTTGTCACTGCAATGGATGCCAGCAGGATCTTGGGATCTATGACGGCCACCACATGTGCATTAGACCCTTGCCCATCCTGGGTACTTAAAGCTTGTAAGGATCACATCAATTTAAAAAAGAAAGCAAACACCTTTCCTAGAGAAAAATGATGTTGCCAGTTATCACCAAGTCTGTAATTTGCCCTTGCTGGGCAACATGATACAAAAACTGGTTGCAGAGCAGCTCCAGGTCATCCTGTTTGCACTGCCAATTTTATGTAGATATACGTTTTAGACATTTAAACCCTATTTTAGCCAACATGATGGGCCTTCCTGATGCTTTAAAAGTGCATCGTCTTCTGAATGACTCCACTCCTGAAATATCAGTGAAGGTAGCCTTGAGGAATTTCAGATTACCCTTTTTAACCCGTTTTGAAGCTGTTTTTGATCTGTCATGGAGTAAACCGCTATAGGGCTGCCATTTCACACAAGGCTTTCCCCTTCCGGTAAAGAGCTGGATCTGAAGCGGTTTGCCATTTCAGACTACACCGCTTTTTCCCCGCCATTTTTCGCCCGTGCGGGTGATCTCCAGCTTTTTTTTTTAACATTCGCTTTAGAGCGCTATAGCACTATAACAAAACACTCCAGGCATTTCAATGGAGTTGATATAATGCTGTTCCCCCATCCTTAATTCTGGTGTTATACTTTGCACAAAATTACTTTAAAAGCATGGCTATAGAAGAGAACATTTATATCATGTTAACACTATAGTTTGCACAAGTTATCCCAGGTCCCAAACACACGCGTGAGATAATGCGCGGGGGAAGTGAGGCTATTTACCCCGGAGGAAATTGATCCGCAGTTGAGCAATCACACAGTTCCTTGAAGCTGTGGGCATAGCCCACCACTGCGTAATCAGACGCAATCATGGGTGAGTTCGGGGGTTTTTTTTGCTGTTTGTTTTCAATTCTCTCAAACGGAGGATCAATGAATCGCATCTCCACACTGAGGGTTTCCTATGGCAGTATGCAATGATGCGCATACTGAGAGGGGGGGGGAACAGTGGCACGGAGTCGGGATGGCCTGATCAGACCATCCCGATGCCATGAGAAAGTCCTGGAGCGATCACACAGAGGAAAGTCCATCTGTGGCCTGTTGCAACCCATTTGATACTGGACTTTTCCTGGTATTTTTTAACTCCTCTTCTTCGGCAGAGCAAGACGGGTTGCCGATGGGTGCGGGACGCTTGCCAGATATTCCCATGTGATCGCACCCTTAAAATCCGCCCGGCATTCGTACCTATCGCTTGGCTAAATCTGCGTGTGATCGGGAACTCGGTTTGCTTTTTCTTGGCCCCGGTGACACGGAGCATTAGGCAAGCTAGAGGGACGGAAGATAGGCGGATTTCTGGGCGCGATCTCACCGCCACATCTGGGAAGTGTAGAGGTCCCGTGGCTCATCCGAGGCTTCCCGCCAAAGACGCGTGGTAAAAAACTAGCACCTCGGAGGTACTAGTTTCCGGAAACCGCGGGGCAAGGGCGGGCGTCTGATTGCGTTTCCGGTGGCCATGCCCCATTGCGAAAAGGTTTCCCCCCCCCCGAAGTCTGCAGGGATGCGCACAGGCACCGAACGGGGCATGCACATACTTCAGGTTAAAAAAACAACAACCCCGTTTGCCGTGCCACGCCGCTTCTTTGGCACGTCGTGTGATCGGCCGCTCCCCCCTAACCATGGGACCTTGATGGGACCGCGAGGGGATGCCTGATCGTGCAATTGCGCGTTATTTCGCTGTGGGGCAAACAGCCACGTTCCCCCCCCCGCGATATCTGGCTCGTGTGACCGGGGCCCTTGTATGGCATATCATCATGCTGTTATAGAATGCATTGTTTTCTTCCTGTTTGCCTATTGGTATGGTATGAAATGATCTATGAAAACTGTCTTAGGTATACAAAATCTTGCCATCTTGCAGATAGATAATCTAGATCACCTTTATATTCTTACCTGTTTGTGGCAATTTACATAATACGAGAGTTAATATTTCAAAGTTCTGGGTTTCTACTCTTTTTTTCGAACCAATGGTAAGTTTTTTTTTAAGTAATTATTTTCAAGGACGTGACAATCATTCTGATTCTTGAAGAAAAGCTGCAGTATACGTTTTGCAAGGCACATACCGTTTTCTATGCTGAGGAGACATGGGTTCTCAAATATGTTTTTGACATTTGGGCAATCAGCCTGTGTTTTCCAGGTATTGGCAAAAGCTGCTGAGGTTCCTTCTACCACCCCACTGATGGCTTTGAAGTCATCAGTCTGGATACTGTTGAAGTTTCCACAGAGACCTGAGAGAAAATCAAGTGGGTGTTTAATCCTCCATGCACTATAAAAATAATCAGACCATTCCCAGAGATCAAATCTTAAGAGCATCTTCAGCAATGCCTATGAAGACTGGAGAGCAGACAGTTAGAATATTGAAAGACGTCCCATTTGAAATTCGGATGAAGTGGAAGGCATACAAAGGACTGACTTCGTTCTTGCAAAACCATCAAATTAGCTATAGATGGTTGATTCCAGAAGGACTTATCTTTAAATTTAAAGATAAAAGGGAGAAGATTGACTCCATTTTCAAAGCTCAAGACTTTTTGAAGAGACACACCAGTTCAGAGGAAGAAGCACTTGCTAAATGGGAGGTATTTGGCAGTGACGAAGACAGCGGCTCAGAGAAGGGAGACAAGAATACGGAAGATGAAGGAGCAGTGAAGGGTCCATCTTACAATTTGAGAGATGTAAAAGGAAGACAGCCCAGAACATGAAGATTGGTTCGGAAAGCGCATGAAAAGACTTTATTAACAATAAACCAAAGAGACACTACTAATATACTAACATTTCTATTTGTTTTTACAGGATAAGATGAAAGACGATTGACCAACTCACGGAAGAAGAAAAAGATATGACTAATACTAACAAAAGATTAATATACTAATATGAGCATCACTCACTCTTTTCTTAATCCCACTATATACCCTCCCTTTTTCTGAAATTAAAAGCAATAAAAACTAAATAATAAAAAATAATCAGACCATTCCCTTATGCATTGTAATGAATTAACTCACCACATGTATGTCCTTTGTGAACTGGATCTAAGCGTGCAAAGATCTGCATGATAGGTACAAGTTGGACCTCTAACGTGATGCCAATATTTGTCTGTAACATGATGAAGAATGATGATGGCCTGAAGATGGTGACGTTGGCTGGGGAAGCAGAACATAATTAGCCATGCTTCAAATGGAATCAAACATCTTATCGAGTAGGAACTAATGATTGATTCTGATGTGACAGTTGATACATGGGGATGAGTGGAGATGTGTTCAGTGTATTTAACGTATACTTGACATTCTTATAGAGGATAGCAGCTACTTACACCAGATACACATTATTAAACATTTTCTGTGGGTGAGATTCTACCAAAATGAGCTTCTGCCATAAGGGGAATGCAATGAAGTTGCATTTCAAATGCCATACAATGTTGATCTGCAACATTTTTAGTCACAAAGGGTTGCATCCAGAGGACTGATCCAGGTGGTCTGAAGCGGGAGAACAAAGTTTGAGTCCAGTGGCACCTTTAAGACCTTGAATAAAACTTGTTGGTCTTAATGGTACCATTGTATTCAAACCATATCCTGATTTAAGTGGAGCTTTTCTCCTGGAACATATATTTCCTGTTTTCCTTTTCCTGCTGCAACCCAACAACATGTGGTACAAAGTAGGGGTCTACTGTAGAAAGTAATCAGCAAAACTCACCACTAGTGGAAGTGGATTTTAGATCCACGCCAACGCTTACCATCAGTACATTTTGATGGAAGCGACTACAAATACCTCCTGTAATAATGTATAACTGACTGTATTGCCCAGGGCTATTTTTGGGCAGGAACGCACAGGAACGGAGTTCCGGATGGCTCCCGAGTTGGCCACACCCAGCAGGAACTCATTAGCATAATAGGCCACACCCAACAGCAGAAACTCACTGGGATTGGCTACATTAGAGGAGTGTGGCCTAGCATACAAAGGAGTTCCTGCTACAAGAAAAGCCCTGGGTTTTGACAATAAACAAAGTAAACAGAATAAGAAGCAAAAGGTGGGTGTGGCTGGATGACCACACATCTAGTAACATGGGGGTGTGGCCTACTATGCTGATGAGCTGTGCTCTTGGGGTGTGGCCTGATATGCTAATGAGTTTATGCTATTGGGTGTGGCCTATTATGCTAATGAGTTCCTGCTGGGCTTTTTCTACAAAAAAAGCCCTGGTATTGCCTATGTAAATATAATACTATGAGTACTGGGAATTTAGTTCTAAGTCAAAGAATTCCTGTCATAGCAAACAGGTTCCCCATTTTCATTGACAAGGAGAAGGCAGTTCCACGGATGCTTTTAAATTCAAATCTGACAGGATCTTTGTAATACCATAAAAGATGGAGTTACAACATAAACTCTACTTCTGATCCAGCCGTTGCTTACTTGTATAAGAATTTCAATAGGTGCATTAAATTTCTGCACACACAATATTTCTCAGTACATTTCAGTGCACAAAGGACTATGAGCTTGAATTGAGTACACCTACTACAGGGAAGCCTTCTTAAGTATGCATCTTGGTGCACAAAGACCTCTGGAGAGGGTAATCATCTGTAATCAATGTCTTCCAATAAGTATTGAATAAAATGGTCTTTGGCAAAGTACATGAGCCGTGGTAAATATCAATCAGACATCTCTGTAAACTGAACCTAGCCTTTGAATGCTACAATAGAAAGGTAAGAATTCAAAGAATGAAGAGTGCCACAGGTTATCTCCAAAAGTGGGACTTACCTGCAGAGACAGGCAGCTGGGTGAGGATCATATTCACGTAGACAACCCCAGAAGGCTTGATCACAATTACCTAGCAGTGGAGAGAGAGAGAGTACAGTCTGATTGTAACCAGATAGCTTTCTTTCTTTTTTTCTTTCTTTTTTGCTGCTGGCTTTGAGTATAGTTGTTAAGAACATAAACTGAAATCAGAAGATCAGGAAAGAATCGTGACTACTGTTTGTTTAAAATGGTTTGCAGGAAGAAACAGCGGTTGTCCTGTCCATGTGCCACCTCCATTTTTAAATATACATTTGGGCTTTTTGGTTTTTGTACTCACCGTCTGACCTCCATCGATGCTGATGGCCACACCTTTCAAGCATGTCTCCGTGTCTGTGAGGCCACACTTTCTGATTTCGACCAGAACAGTGAAAGCATTGCTGTCACAGAGCTGAAAATGGAGTCACAGAGCATTAGCGGTTTGAACTGCCTGGACTTTATACCAATTTACATCACATTGTCTTTGAGCTCATCAGATAATGTATTGAAAATCATTCTGTCCCACCTTTCTTCATGAAATCAAGATAGATCCCAACAGTTAAGAAGAGATAAAGTGGGATGACAAAGGGCTGGGTCCAAAGATTCCTTCCCACTGACAGCGGAGTCTTCCTCAGACCCTAGGAGTCTCCTGGTGATGCCAAGAGCCTCAATCAGGTGGAAGAGACACATTTCACCTGTGGAAGGCTCTGTGCTCCAGCAGAAAGATCCTTGCATCAGGTAAATGCTGCACCATTTGCAGAACCGAACCTTTGGGTCTAACTCAATATGAGGAACAGTCAGGGGTCATTTCCTGCCGGAGCACAGTGGAGCAGCGCTCCGGCAGTAAAGAGCCCGTGGTGCCCCCCGCTGCCATTCTCCCCCACTGCCTCCCTGCCCTCCCCTCCCCTTCTCCAGCCAGCCAGCCCGCCGCACTCCAGACATACCCCCCTGCCCTCTGAGCCCTTCCGCTTTTGCAGAGAGACTCGGGGGAAGGGGGAGGAGGATTTAAATGCCTGGGTTCCCTGCCCGATGTTCTCTAGGGGACAGTTATTAACAAGAACAAAAAATTACAGCTTAACAAATCAAGGCCGGGTCACGTTCCATTACTATGGGAGATGCAAAGCTTGTTTTTAAAAGGTGAATTGATTGTATCACATTCATGTTGCAATTTACAATGTGTAACTTTTATCGGCTAAAATAATTTTAATGTCGGTTGCCTTAATTAAACCACATTCTGCTTTGCAATTCTAATCAACAATTTTGAAGCCCCGGGCATCCCTCTGAAAACATTGTGTGGGGAGCTTCCCAATTCACAACCTCCCTGGATTAGTCCATTTTGATTACCTTAGTAAAGACATAGCTACAGTCACCAAAGAAGGAATACTGTTTCTCATCAAATGTTGAAATGTGGGACCCTCCTTCAATTGTGCATATTCCAGGGCATGAAAGGCTGACACAGGCCCACTGGCCTCCAGTACATGTACTGAGGAAAAAAACACAGAAATAATAGTTGATTTTGTGTATTCAAATGACAGTCCACTTATGAGTGCACGGAGGTATGTGCAGTGGTCATTCTTTTAGAGCTGAAATCAACTTGCTCCTCTTTTTTCCTTTGTGAGTTTTGATGTCCTATTAATCTCTGGATGGACTCTGAACGTTGAAATGTTCTCTGCATATTGGGTATCCATGTTTGTCAACCAACTATCATTGATTTCAGCACTTACTATCTATTTTTGCAACATCTGATTGCTGACTTGAGCTGGTTTTGGGCATTTGATAGTGACTGCCTATATGCACTAGTTTGGCAGAGTGGTTTTCAAACTTACTACCTCCAGGAAACAATTTCCACATAAACAGCTGCCAGGGATCCTCTGTGGATTTGCCACAGAAGCACAGCATGCGGCAGAGTATTCTGTGGGAAGTTCTATGGTGCATACTCCGTTCACGTGGGAAATTGTTTGGCCTCATCGTTGCCATGTGCTAAGGAAATACTCAGACTGTGCAGTGGAAGGGTGGCTGCCTTTTAACTTCCAATCTATGTATTTTGGAATTTATGGTCATGATATCAATTCGTCTTAAGTTACACAAAGGCCACAAATGAATGTATTCAGAAAATATACAGAGGAGGCACATGGGTAAGAGGAGGAGGAGGAGAAGGAGGAGATTGGATTTATACCCCTCCCTTCACTTGGAGTTTCAGAGCGGCTTACAAACTCCTTCCCCTTCCCCTCCCCACAACAGACACCCTGTGAGGTGGGTGGGGCTGAGAGAACTCTGACACAAACTGCTCTTTTTCAAGGACAGCTGTGCCAGAGCTTGTGACTGACCCAAGGTCACATCAGCAGGTGCAAGTGGAGGAGTGGGGAATCAAACCCGGTTCTCCCAGATTAGAGTCCGCGCTCCTAACCACCACACCAAACTGGAGCTTTCCTTCACAGAGCTCTTCATATGTGGCACGGGTTCATTTTAATTCCTCAAAATGGAACCATCCCATCACGATCAGGCTAAAGCAGTGAAGCGCTACAGCAGTGTTTGCATAGACTTTGACATCTCCCGCTTTAGCAGTTACATTCACCACAGCAACCTCCCATTAAATAAGGCACACAAAGTAAAACGTTCCTTTTTCTGCTTACCAGGAAGTACACTTGGATGCAAAAGAAGCTCCAGGAGCATAAGTGTCCCCATTGTAAGTGCAGTGACAGTCCTTAACAGGGATGCAGCCCGCATTGTTAATGTCATCATATACAGTTCCTAAAAGAATGGCAGAACAAAATTTGAGACCAGTGATACCTTTAAGACCAACAAAGTTTAATTCTGGGTATAAGCTTTCATGTGCAAGCACACTTCTTCCGTTCTCATAGTAGCCATATTAGAAAGATTAGTAAAGGTAAAGGTTTCCCTTGCTCGAAAGCCAGTCGAATCCGGCTCTAGAGATCATCTCCACTTCCAAGCCGAAGAGCCAGCGCTGTCCAGAGACTTTTCCGTGGCCATGTGGCCGGCATGACTAGACGCCAAGGCGCACGGAACGCTGTTACCTTCCCACCGAAGCGGTACCCATTTATCTACTTGCAATTTCTTGCTTTTGAACTGCTAGGTTGGCAGGAGCTGGGACCAGAGACGGGAGCTCACTCTGTCATGTGGCACTCGGGTCTTGAACTGCTGAACTACCGACCTTCCGGCCTGCAGTTCAGCGTCTCAACGACTTGAGCCACCGCAGCCCCTTTAGAAAGATTAGCCATGATGAAAAGCACGTTCCTTTTTTTGCTTCCCAGAAGAATGTGGATGGTTGCTCTTGGAAAGCTATGGCTCTGGACTTACCTGGGGCTGTCTTGTGGCTACAGGGCCACAGGGTGAAGGGTGGGACCAGGAGGTAGGCTTTTCATGCCTGCAAGGTGTTGGGCTGCATGGGTGTAGCCACTAGCCCTCTGAAGATGTCCGGCAGCAGCATCTAGGCAGCCTTGCTGCCTCGTTTACTGGCACAGGTGGGCTGGGGGAAGCCTCTTGGCTCAAGGGGACTCTCCCAGGTCTGCCCCTTCCACTTTTAAGGCCATGTGGCTGCCAGGCCCCCCCAGTGCACCCTTCGACCACCCCTCCCCTCCTCCCTCAGTTTCTGGTTTTGTACGACGATTGTCTTTCTTGTTAGTTTTCTTGCCCATGGTTTTAGGCACTGGGCCAGATCCATTTGGGGGGGGGAAGCTGTGCCTGCATGCCCACCTACACCTTTAAGGGGTCTCTGGCAACACTCCCTCTAAACTGTGGAGTCTTGTGAGCAACGATTCTACTTTGTGAGCTACCGGCATTAAAGGGGTGAGCGAGCGATTTGGCCACTGCATCAATCAGTTTGCTCTGGAGCCCTCCTTCCTGAGCGAAGACAAAAATGTGTGAGCTGGAGGCTAAGAAACTGAGCTGGCTCACACTGACTCAGCTTAGAGGGAACACTAGTCTCTGGGGTGGAACCAGGTAGCAGCCAATGCTCCGTCTAAGCTGTGGAGTCTTGTGAGCAAAAATCCTACTTGGTGAGCTGCTGGCATTAAAGCTGTGAGCGAGCGATTTGGCTGCTGCATCAGTCAGTTTGCTCTAGAGCCGTCCTTCCTGAGCTGAGACAAAAATGTGTGAGCCGGAGGCTAAGAAACTGTGAGCTAGCTCACACTAACTCAGCTTAGAGGGAACACTGGCAGCATGCCCAGCTTGGGGGCTGTCACTTGGCTCCAGTCACGGCTGGCATGGGAACCATGTGGGACCACTGATCTTGCCATTCCAGGTCTATCCCCAGCAGGTGGGTTACCCGACGCATGGATGGATGCCCTGTGCCATGTCAATGCTCCATGGCCAAAATCAATAAAGCTGTGGCATGTTCCGCCCCAACTCAGTTTCTGGGTGCATGTGTTTCCTGCTTTGCCTCCTCCCCCACCCTTCATCTGCCAATAGGATGCTAGAAACGGGATGCTTATTTAACCCTTTAGTCCGCTCTGGCACATTCTCATCAGTAAGGTAAGATGTTGATATCCTTTCTCTGATGCCGACTTCAGACAGGAACCCCATGCACATTTATCTGAGAATAACACTACCTGAACTTGGAATTCGACTTATGACTCAACGGGTGCGTTCAGACGGGGGCTTTACATCGGTTAGGGTGCCGGTTCCAACCGGTGTACTTACGGGCGTTCACACGATGAACATCTGCCTCCCGTCCCTAACCGGTGTAAAGCCCTTTACACCGTTGCACTCTGCCACTAGGTCCCAAGTGGTGGTATACTGAGTGCAACGGTGGCTTCCGGTTTACCCCGGCGTCTGATCGCTCTCCACTGGTGCCTTGCCATTTCCGTCAGAAGCCTGAGGCTTCCGGCTTTCCCCCGCCATTTTTTTAAAAAAGTAAGCGATATGCGCTTGGGCAAAGTGTTGGACTGGAGGGGCCACTGGCCTGATCCAACATCGGCTTCTCTTATGTTCTTATAAGAGGGAATTGGATAAGCATATGGAGCAGAGGTCCATCAGTGGCTGTTAGCCACAAGGTATAGATAGGAACTCTCAGACTGGGGCAGGTGATGTTCTGTATTCTTGGTGCTTGGGGGGGGGGGTCAACAGTGGGAGGACTTCTAGTGTCCTGGCCCCACTGCGGCACCTCCTGATGGCACCTGGTATTTTTGGCCACTGTGTGACAGAGTGGTGGACTGGATGGGCCACTGGCCTGATCCAACCTTGGCTTCTCTTATGTTCTTATGTTCTTAACCACTTCCAGGCTTGTTGACCACACATGAGGGGAGGTCTGAGCTGGGGTTTGGGATGCGCTCTACCCTCCCCTCCCCTTTCTTAAGGCTTTAATTCCTCTGGCTGCCATGGTTTTTTCCTCTCCCACCCCCCTCCCCCTTTTCTTGCATTCAGTTGTTACGGGTTTATTCCATGTTTATTGTTGTCTTGCAATTGTCACAGCTGTTTGGCAGTTGGCATTGGGACGGATCCTTTTGTGTGGGGGGGCGGTGCCTGCGTGCCACCTCCTCCAGTTGGGGACTTCCTTAAGGGTACTTGGGGGTTGAGCAGAGCACTAAGCCACATGCCCAAGGGGGGGGGGTGTCAGTTGGCTGGCTCTCACCTCCAGGTGGCGATGGAACCGTGCAGTGGCTGCCACCCACATGGGACCCTAGAATTCACAACCCCGTGGTTACCCCTCGGCACACGGGCTGGGAGTGGATCGGCTCATGGGGCAGCAGGTGAGTCACACGATGCTGGATCTGTCCCCGTGCTGCACCAATGCTCTTGCACTGCATCCTATAAAACTGTGGCCTGTTTCATCCAAACAAGGGTGTAATGGTACTTCTTCACCCCCCTCCCCGATAGCTCCTGGGTCCACAAGCTGCTTACTACTGTCTTAATACCACAGAGATGGTGCACTCAGTCTAATCGATGCAAATGAATATTTGTTGTTGACTAACCTGGGGGACAGAAGCAGCCATCTGTGCAGTGATCTTCACAGAGCTGGGACCTTTCTGGATTGGTGCAAGTATCAGAGCAGGGCGTTCCACATTCCCGGTGTTGCATGTTGAAAGGACATGTCTTGGCTGAAAGCAGAAACGAAGGATGAGACGTCAGAGAGTTCCCAGGTAAAAAAATTTTCATTTCTCGGAAGTGGAGATGGCTAACAGGATTCTAACAGTAGCTGATCTATGTTTTGGCCCTCTTTTATTTATTTTTTATTTATTTATATTTATTTTCACATTCATATCCCACCCATCCCGTAAACGAGCTCAGGGCGGGTTACAACAATTTAATAAATACGATAAAATTGAAAACCGATTAAAACATATAAAAACAGTGGTCACACATTGCCGTAGGGAGAATCCGGCCCATAGATGTAATTAGCCGGTTACCAGTAACTGGGAGATTGCAACCTGGGGAAGGGGCGTATGTGGACGCCCACTGCCTCAGCCAAAGGCCTGACGGAAGAGCTCCGTCTTGCAGGCCCTGCAGAATTGCATAAGATCCCACAGGGCCCTGATCTCAATAGGGAGCACGTTCCACCAAGTGGGGGCCAGGGAAGAGAAAGCCATGGCCCTGGTCAAGGCTAGGCAGACATCCTTTGGGCCAGGGATCACCAGGAGATGTTGACTCTCAGAGCCATGGCTCTTTTTGTAGCAGGTACTCCTTTGCATATTAGGCCACACCCCTAATGTAGCCAATCCTCCAAGAGCTTACAGAGCTCTTCTTACAGGAGCTACTGTAAGCTCTTGGAGGATTGGCTACATTAGGGGTGTGTTGCTTAATATGCAAATGAGTATCTGCTACAAAAAGAGCCCTGCGAGAGCATAATGCTCTCTGAGGCGTATATGGGAAGAGGCGGTCCCTTAGGTATGTTGGTCCCAGGCCAACAGTTTCTCATGCAATAAAGAGCTGAGAGACCATCTCGGTTACTTACCACACAATTCTTCAGTTCTCCATTCAAGGGGCTGCCCCCCAGAGTGGGCACATTGCCGGGAATATTCGGCAAAGTTGTTACAAACGCAGAAGTCCGTCATCGATGAATCGCAGCTGCACAGATCTTGTACGCAAGCATCAATATAACTTTGCACGTCAACCAGTGCGTTGCAGCCCAGGAAGGCTTCACCAGTCAATACAGTCTGGCAGACAGTACTCTGAAAGGGGCGGGGGGGAAATCAGTGTTAAAAGAATGAACTTGATAGAGCACTGGTTAACTACTCGTCTGATTTTTATTTACTTTTGCCCTTATTTCTGAGATTTCATTCTCTTTATTTTCTTTTGCAATCCATGAATAAGGAGTGAAGGAAAGTGGGAACAGGTTTTACTTTAAAAGAAGACACAAAACCAGAAATCCTTACAAACTGTTGACTGCAATTGCGTGGGGCCGAGGGGACGGGATCTTGGCACTGTTCCGTGGGTCCATCCATCTTTTGCAAGTTTCCAAACTGCACAGGATTCAGCTGGACGTCTGCAATAAATATTGCATATTATATTTGCAGAAGGGTCACCCAAATATTGGTGCATGGAGTGGGATCAGATGGAAGAGCAAAGATAATAAGAAAGGGAACCTCGAATGAAGTTGATTCAGATCAGCCACTACTTTCTTTTGCCATTCTTGGGGAGAGGAGGAGAGATCGCTTTTATTCTCTAGTCTTAAGAATAGTTTGGTTGCCATATGCTACTAAGACCTCTTAAAGACCACAGTGCCTATGCCCGTCTACCTCTGTGCTAATTCTCCTGCCTGTTTACTTACAAAGCCCAAGTTTTTGCATCAAGACTATACAGCAAGACATTCTATGGCCGAGTTCAGACTTGCAGTTGGGCCCGATATAGGCACGTTTCACAAACGGATTAAAGGGGCCGGTTCACACAGCCACAGCTGTCAGGCGTCCCCCAGCCGTACTCAACCCATCCTATGACGATTCCCTACCGAGTTTAAAAAGTACCAAGTGAAAGCAGTAGCAAACCCTGGAGAGTGCATTGATCCTACTTCCCGGACGTGTGAATGCCACAAACAAGCCGCTCGAGAAATAGGCTCATAGGCTCATGTTGCCGAAGTGGGGGGAAAGCCGCTTACAGCCGTGGCTCCGCCAGGGGTGGGCCAACAGTGCGAACACTCCCTTGCCCCTCCTCCCCCGTATGCTCCCGCATCAGTCGGTGCAGTGCGACCGGGAATCCCCAGCACAACTTGGTCCGGGTCTCTTTGCCCCGCCTCCCTCGTGCTTCATACTGCCAGTCTGAACTCAGCCAATATATTGACCAATGTAACTGGAATAGCTGTTTAAGATTTACTGGAAATGCCCGATCAAGATAATGGGGAGGAAGGTCAAACACCTGTACCCAGCAATTAGCACTAGCAATCCCGGCAAACATGTCTTCCTGGCTCAGTCAGTCAATGACCCATTGAGAGCCAGAGTGAATTCCCTGCTGAATCAGTGGCCAGAAGTTTTCCTTTAGGTGGGCAAGAAGAGTTGACCAAAGATAGAATGCTGAGGCACAGACACATCCTCATTAAACACCCATGATATGCATCTGAAATGCAGGACCACGGTCCGCCCTGCAATAACAGAAGAAGGCCACAGGATAATGGTGGCCAGGGGGAGAGGGTCTAACTTAACTTGGCCTGCAAAACTATGCAACCCCATGAAGGCCCTCTAGGTCTGTTTCCCCTGGAACATAAGCTTCTGCTCGCCTTGCTTGGCACAACCTTTGCTCAAAAGTATCACGCTCCTACCCACCATCTCAAGGGAAAATGCAATTTTAAAAAGTGGATAGACTTGCTACATGACTGGTTTTAAAAAAATGGAAGACAGAGAAGCAAAGCAACAAGTTAACAGTGGCCTCGGCCACACGGGCAGGAAAATGCGGGGGGGGGAGGCGTGGCTGTTTGCCCCAGAGCAAACTAACATGCGACTGCGCAATCAGGCGTCGGGTTGAGTTCCCATTGAGCTCCCGTGGTTAGCGGGGAGGTGCCGATCACAGACGCGGCAAAGAAGCGGAGCGGCGCGGCAAACGGGGTTGGGGGGTTTTTTTAAACTGAAATGTGCGCATGCTCCGTTGGGTGCTTGTGTGCATCTGTGGAGACTTGGAAAAAAACCCCTTTTTGCGAGGGGACATGGGCGGGCACCGGAACTACCACCGGAAACACGATCAGGCGCCCGCCCTTGCCCCGCGGTTTCTGGAAACTAGTACCTCGGAGGTACTAGTTTTTTACCCCACATCTTCAGCGGGAAACCTCGGGTGTGCCACGGGAGCTCTATGCTTCCCAGATGTGGCGGTGAGATCGCGCCCGGAAAATCCACCTATCTTCCGTTTCTCTAGTGTGCCTAATGCTCCGTGTGACCGGGGCCAGCATTTATAAGATATCCTTACAACAGACTAGCCCTTGTCCTTTTCAGATACTATACAGCAACTGTACGGCTGTCAATTAAAAGTCTTGCATAATAATGTTTGCGAAAATAAGCAGTGCCATTCTACAATGGAACTGATTAGTACCCCACTTTTACGAGCAATAAAAGCAGAAGAGTCTGTTATATAAATTACTCACTGTTTGCAATGAATTCATTGTATATTGGGATACCATTGAAGTCGCCACAAAGGCCACAAGTCTGATTAGCATATTTCTCATTCAGTTCCAGCTAAAACAGGATAGAAAAAGTGAGATGTAAATACAGTGAACATTCAGTGTATTATTATAAATGAAAGTCTAGGTTATAGCAAGCTTTGGGTTTGGATACTGCATCTCTTCTATGGACAGGAAATAGATGTTTACGATCAGTTCCATAACTAGTAAATTGAGCTGATTTCTACATGTTAATATCAGGATATTATTCTGAATTCTCAAAGGATGACTCAATGAACAGACATAGTGATCAGACCAAGCTCATGATCCAAATGCCCAATGAACCAACAGAAGATATTTAATATCCAAACACTGATTGGTTCATACTATCAGGTAATTATGTCACGTGATTGTATGCCATAGTTTTCACGAAACAAGTAAGCATAAGTAAAATAAAACGAAATCACTGTTCTCTGTCATGTTTTGAGTTCCTTACAAGATTTGCAATTTTTTTCCTTACCAGAAGGTTATCCTCTAGGTTCCACACTAAAAGCAGGCCTAATTTGGCACTGATTTTCATATAACCATTGCTTCTTTCAATCAGGATCCCTGAGTAGGTAAAAGGCAGCAGAACACTAGAGGAAAAACAAATTGCAGTTCAAGTCTGAGGTAACAAATGGAAAATTCCTCATTCACAAGTATCCAATTCAGCTTTCTAAGGACAGAATGTTTCATGGCATCACTCCATTTATAAGCAAATATAAGTCTCATGGTTCATGCAGACAACAAGAACTACTACTTATATTCATTTTACTTAGATAAAATAAACTTGATTTCCCTTGACACAAATGAAATTTTGTGGGAATTGAAACCCTCCATAAGGAAACAATACCTGATAACTGTAATCCAAATAGATGATTTTTATTCTAGGGCAACTGAATTTGACCATTTTAAAAGGCTTTTGCTGGTCCTGTCATGGTTTTTGTGGCAAAATTGCTTGAAACTTAGAGGGGATGGTAAGTTCCCTGAAAGCATTCAGAAAACTGGATGCAGGCATTCCAAAGTTATCCATAAACATAGTATTCTTATTGTTAAGTTATAATTTATTTTCCATGCAATTGTCCTCTGAATCCCAAGAAATACGGAGCCAAGCCAACCCTAGGTAAGTTACCTGCAAAATTTCAGAAAGGCAGGTGCAGGGGTTCCCAAAGAAATCACTGATAGGCATGTAATAATATGTTTGTATACTGGGATTTAAATGAGTCAGTCCAGGCATAGACATAATAATTATGGACAATGGAATGGGGAAGGCTATTAATTTGTTGAACACACCAAAAACCAATATACATCTCCTCACTTTCATAAATCCCTCCCAAGAGTTACACAGTTGAGAAGAGGAAGCAATTAAAATACTCATTAGAAACTTTCATACAGTTGCTGTGTGCTCACTGAGCTGTCAATCACATTGTCCCTTCCCTGACCACCTCGTCTGAAAGCCAACTTCCTCATATGTAAGAAAATGAAAATAATTCCAGACCCCCCCCAAAAAACGGTACTGGTAGCCAAAGAAAGCCGCCAGCAACCTGAAGCAGCACAAAGAGCTTTGGATTGCTTTCCTTTGGTTTGGAGTATTTCAAAAGATCCTCGCTACATTTAGGGGTCCTTCCATTTTGGCTACAAAGCAGGAAGATTTGTTTTGGAGTGTGAGTCATTTCCAAAGAAATATACAGTTCTAATGGGTATTGGTTTGAGGCAATGCCTACCTATTACCCCCTCACCCCCTCACTCGCAATTGCGATGTGTAGCAGTACAAGAGGAGAAACGAGGTTGTTGATAAAGTTATTCAACATACTGTTTTTCATTGACAAGAATGGAGTCCTGCGTCAGTTCAACGATGACTCCATCAATTTTGATGACAACGCGGCTAATAATGGTAGCATTCTGAGCCGTGGTGCGCCGTATTTGGATGTTGAAGTCTTCATAGTTAGATTTGCAGTGGGAGGCAAAGACATAGTTGCAAACTCCAGGGAAATGGTAGATGTCCCCATCAAAGGTCTTGAAGTGGAAGTTGCCCCAAGTGCTACACACTTGCCCATTGTGAGCGGGATTTCCAGCTGTGGATCAGAAGGAACTGTTAGTTTCTACGAAAAGCCCTGTCTCTGTTCATATATGCATTGTACACCCATCCACCCACTCAAGGATCACAAGAGTTTTAAAATGAAATGAAATACCCATATTCCTCTCTGCTCATTAATAGCTGTCTTATCTCCTGGTTCCCCCCCCCCCCCCCCCTCCTCTCCCCCTGACACCGGGAGCTGCTGCTGCTGCTGCTTTAGAAGAACTGTGAAAACAGGAGCCTGCCACAATCCAGGCCATTCATTTGCTTATTAGGACACACCCCTGACACCACAGCTCATTAGCATATTAGGCCACACACCCCATGTTCGTAGAAGTGTGGTCATCCAGACACACCCATCTTTTGCTTCTTATTCTGTTTACCTCGTTTGTTGTCAAAACCCTGGGCTTTTTTATAGCAGGAGCTCCTTTGCATGTTAGGCCACACACCCCTAATGTAGCCAGTCCTAGTGAGTTCCTGCTGTTGGGTGTGGCCTATTATGCTAATGAGTTCCTACTGGGTGTGGCCAACTAGGGAGCCAGCTGGAACTCCGTTCCTGTGCGTTCCTGCCCAAAAATAGCCCTCTGTGTGTGTGTGTGTGTGTTTGTGTTTGTGTATAAAAAGATGGCACATAATGCACATAAAAATAAGTCCTGAAATTATCAAATGGCCCCTTTGAGCTTTGGGCCCAGTCCAAAGGGACCCTCTTGGCCCCCTCTCCGACTGGCCCTGCCTCTGTTCAAAGAAGGACTTCATGGAAAAGGATCTTTAGTGCATTTCCCTTACCCAACAATCCCCTGCATTGAGGGTTGCCAACCATCAAGGGGTGTCTGGAGTTCACCTGGGATTACAACCAATGTTCCCTCTAAGCTGTGGAGTCTTGTGAGCAAAAATTCTACTTTGTGAGCGACTGGCAGTTTGGTGTAGTGGTTAAGTGCGCGGACTCTAAGCTGGGAGAACCGGGTTTGATTCCCCACTCCTCCACTGGCACCTGCTGATGTGACCTTGGGTCAGTCACAAGCTCTGGCACAGCTGTCCTTGAAAATGAGCAGTTTGTGTCAGAGCTCTCTCAGCCCCACCCACCTCACGGGGTGTCTGTTGTGGGGAAGGGAAGGGAGAGGAGTTTATAAGCCGCTCTCAGACACCTTTGGGTAGCGAAGGGTGGGGTATCAATCCAATCTCTTCTTCTTCTTCGAGTCCGACCCTAGGGTACAACTGATCTGGAGAAAGTGGCTGCTTTGGAAGATGGACCCTATGGCATTCTGCCCTATTGAAGTCCCTCCCCTCGCAAACCCCGCCCTCCTCAGGCTCCACCCCCACAATCTCCAGGTATTCCCCAACCCGGAGAAGGCAACCCTACTTGCATTACCTGATAAACTGCTGCTAGGGAGTGAGCAATTTTTCCTAAAAACAAGTTAAATGGCACGGGGGGCTTTGGAAATGGGGCACTGGGCAAAATCCCTCCCTCTCCTTATTTGTATGAGCAGAATAAACTTCAAAGTTGAACTTGCTGCACTCATGGATAGGCCCGTAGCTACAGCGGGACATTTGGGGGCCTGCCCCCCGACTTCCTAACAAGGCCCCCTGACTTCCTTTAGGCCCAGACCCCCTGACTTTCTGGTAAGATGCAGCAGCCACTGTGAACTCCCCCCATGCTGCCGTGGCCACCACTTCTCTTTGCCTTCCCCTTGCACTGAACCTTTCTCCTTGGTGCTGCACCAATCAGGGGTCATTTGGGGGGGGACGCGGGGGGACGCCATCCCCCCGGGTGAGGTGCGGGAGGGCGGGGCCTGGAGCTCCCTGCTGGTGCCCGCTGGAGGTCGCCGCCGGCTGTGGGGAGGACACACTTCCGGTGATGTCAGGGGGTGTGGCATATGCTAATGAGTTATGCTAATGAGTTCCCCTAGCTCTTTTTCTACGAAATGACCCCTGGCACCAATCAAGTTAATTAAATTATATTTGATTGAATTAGCCAGTTCCCCAGTGCCCCCCGAGGAATTTCAATGCCCGCCCCCGACTTAGAAATTTCTGGCTATAGTTCTGCTCATGGAAGACCAAGGATTCTGCTTAGTCACAGGGCATATTATTGGTGTGTGTTTTTTTTAAAAAAAAAATCCAAACATTAGCTGCCTTTCTCCCTTGCAGAATTCAAGACGGCTTAAGAACAATTTAAAAAACATATGAGTAAAATAACAATTGTTAAATAAAATAAAATAAAATAAAAGGTCACAATTTAAAAACTCCAATCGGGACAACTCATAAAGGAAAAAAACTAAACCAATCAAATGCAGTCCTAAATAAAACTGTCTTCAGCTGCTTCCTGGAGACTAACAGCGAGGGGGCCAGGTGCACCTCCCTGCAGAAGTTGTTCCATAGTTGTGGGGCTGCCACCAAAAAGGTTTTTCTCTTTTTTTTAATTGGCAGGACAGTCAGGAAGGCCTCTCCCTATGGTCTTCATTCCTGGGCAGGAACGAATGGGAGAAAACAGTCCTTCAGACACCCTGATTCCGTATAAAGTTTAGAAGCCACCCCCATACACACTGTAGTATAAGCTCTTTGAGATCCTCAGTTGGCTGCTGGGAGAAAGGGAAGTGGGGGAAATCAGCTTCCATGAACTTGTTTTAGTCACTGATGGCAACATATTTTTTTTCTCCCTCAATGATCCATGTACTTGCAGAGCTTATACGTTAGCACATTTTAATGTGTTGCCCTCTGCAGTACTTCAAGGGAGATTTTCACAGATTCCTTGTGCACAGAGGTTATGTGCTTGTGGAAGAAAGGAAGTAGAAAGTATTGAGCATGTCCTTTTGTACTGTGATTATTATGCTGACATTTGTGTTAAGTATTTAGATCGGTTGTTAATGGATTTCTTCTTTCCTAAAAAAAATGCTGTAACTGTTGAAATAGTGGCAACTTTTTTGTATCTGGCTTCTAAAAAGTGAGATATGTGTTAACTGTATTGAGTACTCCTTATGTTTTGTATACGTACTTCTTAGTGCATAATGCCAATAAATGTTGAATATATATAGTCACTGATAAAAGGATCCAATCTAATGGTTTAGCTTACAGCTTTCAGTTCTTTTCTTTTTTTTAACTATTATTGCTGGTCCAGTTCATGTTAATGAAATTATACTTGGATAAGTGCTTTGAAGACTACAGTTTAAAACATAAGTCTCTTGAGGTCTGGCCAACTTACCCTTGACAGCTAGAGTTGTCCTCACTGGTGGGATGATGGTCACATCTGGGTTGCTGAGAGCTCGTGTGGTCAGAGCTGAAGGAAAGAAATACCATTATAGCTACCAGTACAAATACTTATATAATAATGCTTATCTATCTATCTATCTATCTATCTATCTATCTATCTATCTATCTATCTATCTATCTATCTATCTATCTATCTATCTTCTATCTATCTATCTATCTATCTATCTATCTAAAACATTTATATCCCAACTTTCCTTATGGTTCAAGGTGGCTAATGGCAAGAGTTAGAAACATTTTCAGTTAAAACCAAAAATAAAATAGCACCCCCAAATTTCCTCTCTTCCCCCCCCCCTTAAAAAGATGCCTGTCGACTCCCTCAAAAGCCCTGGGAAACAGGCAGGCCTTGCAGCACTCCCTGGAGGTCTCCAATAGGGTTGCCCGGTCCCCTAGTTGCTCCAGCGGGGGATATGAGGGGTGTTTCAGGAGTGGGCGGGGACACCCAAGCCCCGCCCCCCAAAACAACCACCTGCCAGGCCACCCCTCTCCCTCCCTCCTGGAAGGACCTTCCAGCTGGTCGGCAGTCCACATGGTCCCCACCGATCAGCTGAAGCCCTTTAAATCGGGCAGGAGGGGAGGGAGAGGGGTGGCCTGGTGGGTGGTCGCTCTTGGGGGTGGGGCTTTCGGGTGGGGCTTCCCCTACCAGCCAGCTAGTTGGGGGCGGATTGAAGCCCCCAGAAGCGGGAAAACCCCTGTCCGGACCTGAGGGCTGGCAACTGTAATCTCCAAGGAGGGGGCCCCTCTCACCCCTTCATGGAGCCCGTTCCACCAAAGCCATGATGGACAAGATGCAGGCTCTGGGCAGTGTGTGAGTAGTGTGAGTACTCACAGATCCAAAGTTATACAAATGATCAAAACAGTGAAACCAAAGACAACTCGTAAACAAACGTAAGTGGTGAAATAGCCAACAGATGGCTGCCTGATGACCGTAGTTGGCACACAGGAACGTATGACAGGAGATAGTCCGTCAAATGCAAGTTACTTGAGAGTGAGTTCCACTGGAATTTGGGAGACTTATTCCTAAGCAAATATAATTGCAACTAAAAGATCTTCTGATCTCCTAACTCTCCTAACGTAGTGTTCTGAATATACAAAGGTAGTGTTAAGTGCTGATGTTATATTACTTCTTTCACAATTCCACTTGTGTTTCTAAGGGCACCATGGGCACCGAACGAGGAAGGAATAAAATATAGCAATAAATGACAACACACAATTGATAACTGGAGAAAAACAGGCCCCATGTTACATAAGAATGGGCATTCAATAAAGCTGTACAGTGTGAAACCGTAAAAATTACTAAAATGGTGTTAACTTTCCTTATGTAATGAGGCCTTTCACCCATACAGTGTAAACTGAATCTGATATTGGCCTCTCCCAGCTAAAAACAGCATCTTTGGCCATTTCATTCTTGACCTAATGCGTGTACCTCATGTAAATTGCTGGAAATGTGAGAAGCAGAACATCATGTTAGGGTTTCAGTTGACAAAATATGACTAAGTTATACAGAATAAATGAAAGCACACACGAAGAATCTGAGACTGAAGATACTTAAGGGCTAAAGTACATGATACGTTTGTTTACGAGTTGTCTTTGGTTTCACTGTTTTGATCATTTGTATAACTTTGGATCTGTGAGTACTCAGACTACAGTATGTTCAGTTACAAGGTTGTGTGAATAACTTACCACGGGGGGTTCTTTAGGGTCAGAAAAAAGACTGGTGGGACAGCAGGAGATCCCTCCTCTACCTATCATCAGCAAAATCAGTGATTTTAAAGCCACATTCTTGGAGCTGATGTGTGACTCTGATCAAGGTGGTGAACCAGGAGACAACTCATACCCAAACGCAGGGGTCATTTCCTGCAGGAGCGCACAGGAGTGGAGCTCCGGCAGTAAAGAGCCCAGGGGGCGGGCACATGCAACAAGCCCCGCCCCCTGCTCCCAGCAGCCCTCAGTCAGAGCAAGAAGCAGCCAGGTCAGTTGCAGAGTTCCCCCCGCCCGCCCCCGTCCAAAACAGTCCAGTGGCACCTTTAAGGCCAAGTTTTATTCAGGTACAAGCTCTCCCTCCTCTGCAAGGGCAGATCTGCACCCCCCCCCCCCCCAATAGCTAGCAATTCAAAACAGTCCAGTGGAGCCTGAGCAGTGGGTGTTGCCTTCTGGCACACTTCCGGTGATGTCAGGGGGCGTGGCATACGCAAATGAGTTATGCTAATGAGTTATGCTAATGAGCCCCTGCACCTCTTTTTCTACGAAATGACCCCTGCCCAAATGTATTGTGTAGTTAAGCACTTAGACAAGGCCTGATAACACAATTCATCCTGTGGTGTGATTTTGTGGGGTTTTTTTGCATTGAAGCAAGTGGCACAGAGAATTAGGTATCCTCATCACGGAGCTGAACCTGATCCTGGGCCGCTTCTGCAGCAGGACTGACTTTCAGTTCTTCTTACGTCAGTGTTTCTCCTCCCACTCCATCCCTAAACACTATGCAACGCAAAGGCTTGGATCCAGTGCAGTGTTCCCACTAACAGAAGGATTTCCACCTCTGGAGCAGAACTTTCTCACTGCAGCCTAAAATGCCCCCCAAAACACCAGGTACAGCATTTTGAGGGGCATTTGGGGCTGCAGCAGGAGGGGGAAGTGAGAAAGTTGTGCTCCACAAATGATTTTTCTTCTATTCACAGAAACATTCCTCTGTATCTAAGCCAATGGCCACTCGAAAGGGAGTGGGTGAAGGGCATAAGTCCTCCCTTCCGTTTGCGTAGCATCTCACAAGTCTAACTGGTACCTAGGAGTCACCAAGGCTTGTAGTTTATCCAGGGGCCATTTCGTAGAAAAAGAGGTGCAGGAGCTCATTAGCATAACTCATTAGCATAACTTATTTGCATATGCCCCACACCCTGACATCATTGGAAGTGTGTCAGAAGGCAAAACCCACTGCTTAGGCTCCACTGGACTGTTTTGGATTGCTAGCTATTGGGGAGGTGGGGGACATGCAGATCTGTCCTCGCAGAGGAGGGAGAGCTTGTACCTGAATAAAACTTGGTCTTAAAGGTGCCACTCGACTGTTTTGGATTGCTAGCTATGGGGGGGGGGGGAAACGCACAGATCTGTCCTCACGGAGGAGAGAGAACTTGTACCTGAAGGCGGGCTATGGGGGGAGGGCTCTGCAACTTACCTGGCTGCTTCTTGCTCCTCGTGGCTCGACTGAGGGCTGTTGGGAGCAGGGGGTGGGGCTTGTTGCATGTGCCCGCCCCCTGAACTCCTTACTGCCAGAGCTCCGCTACTGTGCGCTCCCGCAGGAAATGACCCCTGAATTTATCCATAGGAGTGACTTGGATATCGCATGTGCAGGTGTGTGGGTTTTTTTTACTGTTGTTTTATTTTACGCATTTTCATTTTAAAAATGCCATACAGATATGCATACTTTTTTAAAGCTTTTTAGCTATGTAGTAAGCTCAAGGACATAAAGTGATGTATTATAGTATTTGCTATCATGGGTGTACTACTTATACACCTATGCTCACACAAAATGTATTTGTACGTCTGCGGAGTGCAAATACAGTTCTAGATTAGATACCTGCATTGTGTGTGTGTTTGCTTTCTCCTTAACTGAGGGAAATAAATATAATCTCAACATACACGAATCTCGTCCAGTGTACACAATCCAAGGACATAGTCATATAGCCCTAGAGGTTTTCATGGGTTAGAGACTTAAGTACTTGCATTTTCAAACAGAAGAAAAGACAGATGTAACTCATCAGTAGAGAAGTAACATCTGGAAATATAACCATAAGGCTGGATCTAGTGCGGGGACATTGCAAGGTCTATGCAAGGATTTCCAATCTTCCTGGCGTTCCCCTCTCCCCAGCAGCTATTTCCATTCCTGGGAAACTTTAGTCCTGAGACTGTAGGATCTGTGTGAAATAAGACCCCCATATCCTGGGAGGATGCAGTGGTGAGGGAGAAGGGGGCGGAATTGCTCCTTCCATCATCTTTTGTCAGTGGAGCACCAGGGCTATTTTTGGGCAGGATCGCACAGGAACGGCGTTCCAGCTGGCTTCAGAGTTGGCCACGCCCACTACAGCCAAAACCTCTGCGTGCCTGGCTACAGAGGGAAGGCCTGGAGAGCGACCCCCGGCGACTCTGAGGCGGGCAGGCCAGGGCCCCCCTGGAAGGATTGGGGAGGCATTTAAATGCCTCCCTGTGCCTTCCCTAGCCTGTCCAAGGGCTGGCTTGCCCGGGCTCCCCGCAGCTGCAGGGCCCCCGAGCAAGCCAAGGGAAGGCAGTTTAAACTGCCTCCCCTCCAAGGGCCGGCTTGCCCGTGCGCCCCCCAGGCAAGCCAAGGGAAGGGAGTTTAAACTGCCTTCCCTTCAAGGGGAGGGGCACGCCCAGGTAAGCCAAGGGGTGTGACCTAATATGCTAATGAGCTGTGCTGTCAGGTGTGGCCTAATATGCTAATGAGTTCCTGCTGTGGAGCTCCATTCACATAAACTAGGGGGGTGCAATTTTATTGCCTTCCCCTTCCCCAATGCAGTCTCCCCACCAACATCACCAGGAATAATCTCCCCACTACAGCCCCATAAATATACTTTACAAAGATTGGAAGCAGCTGCTGGGTAGAGGTGAAAGCATGGAAGGCTAGTGACGGTTCAAAAGCAAAAAAATAGAAGTGAGGGCCTTGCCTCCTGACTCTGCAGACATCCAGGCTCAGAGGTTCACCACTCACCTCTGGTTGCTGGTGGGGTCACCGGGGAGGGTAACAATGGATAACTTACAAGAAATTTCAGGAAGAAGATGTAATTAACAGAAACCCTTAGGAACATTGTTTAAAAATGCATTTAAGTATTTTGATTTATTAGCTATATGGAGGAAACTGGCCCGACTGGTGAACCTCCTGATGGCACTGGTATTTCTGGCCACTGTGTGATACACAGTGTGATACAGAGTGTTGGACTGGATGGGCCTTTGGCCTGATCCAACATTGGCGTCTCATATGTTCTTATGTAAACAGCATAGATTTGAAAAGGATTATACTTATTTTCTAAGCCTTGGGAGCTATATGCTAGAATTGAGTTTATTTTTGGTCTCTAAAACATTATGTTGTTATTTAGTGGAGAAGCATATTGGAATTAATGTCTGTGCTGATTAATTTCACTGCAGGAGGGGAAAAATAATAGTTGGAGATTTGATAATTTTCTATTCTTAAATACAGTTATGACACAAATGTTTTACAAAATTGACTTTATAATTTTTTTTAGGATATGTACCTCAAGTGACGTTTCTTCTATAATTACCTGGGAAGCAAGTAAAGCCTATTTGAGAGGCCAGTGCATTTGTGTTGGAAATTACAATAATAAAGAAAAGAAAAGAAAGCAGAGAAAGAGCATACACAGAAGTACAATGAACAAACATTCTGGATACTGCAGTTGCAAAAGAGCTGTCTAGAGATGCTAGATAAAGAAGAAACTCAAAAAGAAAAGGCTGTTTACACAAAAGAGATTTTTTTTTTGAGTTTGGTAATAAAGTTAGTAAGCTGTTTAGCCAATAGGTTAAAGAAAAAGAGAGCAAAAGGAATTATTTGGGGCATAAAATTAAACGATGGTACCTTGATTACAGAAAGGTATAACACTTGAGCTTGAGAAATTCTATAAAGACCTCCTAGAAGCCAGATAAAAAGCTGCTGAAAGATGGCTGATAAAAGATGTATTTCCATAGATATGGAAATCCATGGAAATAAGAACAAGAAAAGAAACAAGGTCTAACATCAAAGTTACAGGAGGATAAAAGGATGTAAGTAGATAGTAGGAAATGCTGGTGGCCGCCTGAGGGGGAATAAGGAAGGGAAAGAATGTTTTTTTCCTGAGGTCAGATAGATCTAGTTAGATCTCTGTGGTCGCACAGAGCAGCCGAATGTTGTGTATTTCATGTTGTGGCAGTATATAGTAAGGGTGGACTACTAGGTATTATTAACTGGCCATAAAAATGTATTTTATTTCATTCAAATATTATTTTATGATATCATTTACAGAGAATTACTAGTTCAGTGTTTTCATGGGCAGGAAGGTGGCATGGTATATCTCGATCTCATCAGATCTCGGAAGCTAAGCAGGGTTGGTACTTGGACGGGACGGGAAGACTCTGCAGAGGAAGGCAATGACAAACCATCTCTGCTACTCACTTGCCTTGAAAGCCCCTTGCTGGGACCACCATAAGTCAATTGTGACTTTATGGCACTTGTCAAACACACATACAGTGTTTTCATAAACAGAATTGCACCCTTTTAAGGCCATTGAAGTCAATGGACTTGGAAGGGTATAGCTGCTTAGTATTAAAAGGTAAAGGTAAAGGTTCCCTTGCTCGAAAGCCAGTCAAATCCGACTCTAGGGTTGCGGTGCTCATCTCCGTTTCAAAGCCGAAGAGCCAGCGCTGTCCGAAGATGTTTCCCTGGTCATGTGACCGGCATGACTAAACACCAAGGTGCGCGGAACGTTGTTCCCTTCCCACTGAAGTGGTACCTATTTATCTACTTGCAATTTCTTGCTTTCAAACTGCTAGGTTGGCAGGAGCTGGAACTGGAGACGGGAGCTCACTCCGTCATGCGGCACACTCGGGTCTCAAACTGCTGAACTACCGACCTTCCACAGCCTGCAGTTCAGCGTCTTAACCACTTGAGCCACCGCAGCTCCTTGCTTAGTATTGCAATTGCATTATTAATTATAACTATTATTTATAAATAATTATAGTATTATATGGAGAAAGGGGGAGAAATGCTCAGGTGCACATTTTTAATTAATTGAAATGTATGCATGCTTAAAATCACTATAGTTCACCGTGAAACTAGAGTTTACAAAAATGAAAATAACCAGATAGTATTTCTTTTCTTCTGCTAGTGAAGTGGGTCAAAGCCTGCCAGGATGCAATCCTGCCCTTCACCTCCCCTACCTAACCCTGCCCAAAGAAAGTTAAAACACCTACAGTCTTGTCCCTGCTGGACATTTTGATAGTCGTCATAATTTGACTGCTGTTGATCGTACTGAGATTGCTGGTCATAGTCCTGGGCTTGTTGATCTTCATACTGGGATTGCTGGTCTGCAACTTGGGCACGGACTGTGGCAACAAGGCAAAGAAGAAGAAATAAAGCATTGTCGTGAGCTCTGTTAGGTCGCATTGTTGTACCAGGTCTACGAACCATCAAGTGGTTAAGGGGCAACACAGATCAAAGTGTTTATTTATTCAAAGCATAGTATCCGGGCATATAACGAAGATTAGTTCCAAACAATTAGAAACACATGATGTCACAGAAATAACCCACAATAAAATGTCAGTGAAAAAGCAGACTTTAAAGCAGCAAAGGACTCTATAAAGACATCAGTCTTTCTCTTCCTTCAAACGTAAATGGGATGGTTTTCACTTGCCAGCTATAAAAGGAAGGACAAGCTATTTCGGGAGATGGTATGCCAAAGCCTCGGTGCCCTTACAGGAAAAAAAGGCTTTTTTCCTACCAGCGCTATCTGTCTTCCATCAGATGCTGGGAGCAACTGAAGCAGAGCCCCCAAGTATAATCTGGCAGGCTTTGAAGTTGTGGATATACCTCCTCGTCTGTGTTGTCTGTGTTCCCCCAGTTTTAAATCCACGGGCAATACAATCCAGTCTAAACCCATTAGAATCAGTGGGTTTAGACTGACATAACTGTACGTAGGATCAAAATGAGAGTTAGGTGATTTACTGGGTTCATAACACTTACATTCAGATCTCCTGGAAAATAACTAGTTATACCAGGAAATGTGCTTGGGACCAGTGTTCCCTCTAAGCTGAGTGAGTGTGAGTTAGCTTACAGTTTTTTAGTCTCCGGCTCATGCATTTTTGTCATAGCTCAGGAAGGATGGGGCTCCAGAGCAAACTAATTGATGCAGTAGCCAAAATGCTCGCTCACAACTTTAATGCCAGTAGCTGACAAAGTAGAATTTTTGCTCACAAGACTCCATAGCTTAGGAGGAGGAGGAGAGGAGATTGGATTTACACCCCGCCCTTCACTACCCAAAGGGGTCTCAGAGCGGCTGACAACCTCCTTTCCCTTCCCCTCCCCACGACAGACACCCTGTGAGGGCGGCGGGGCTGAGAGAGCTCTTGACAGAAACTGCTCTTTTTCGAGAACAGCTCTTCTGAGAACTACGGCTTGCCCAAGGTCATCCAGCCAGGTGCAAGTGGAGGAGTGGGGAATCAAACCCGGTTCTCCCAGATCAGAGTCCCTGCACTTAACCACTACACCAAACTGGCTTAGAGGGAGCATGGCTTGGGACCTCAATTCACATGCTATACTAACTTCTTTCCTTCTTTCCAGTGATTACTGTGATCATTTTCTGACTGTCTCAGAGAAAGTTCGCATAACCTCCACTTAAAAAAAAAGAAAAAAAGAACACATGTTCCTGATTTCTGTGACCCCGTCAATCATTTTGAAGGTGGAAGGATCTTGGAAACCATCAAACATACCCCAGCATCATTCTACGACTTGCACATGTGTATAGTATTTCTAGGTTAGAGTAATGTGAACTTCCTCATAGAGTATAATTATACCAGGCAGAGCCTTGCTCATTTGCTCGATAGAAACTCAAAGGTTTTTGGAAGGTGAAGGCCTAATCCCATATAGGAGTGCAACTCAAAACATGACGATCCTTGCCTGATTAAATAATCTCGTTCAACATCTGCCTTGTTTCCATCAGTAGAAGAAGAAGAAGAAGAAGAAGAAGAAGAAGAAGAAGAAGAAGAAGAAGAAGAAGAAGAAGAAGAAGAAGAAGAAGAAGAAGAAGAAGAAGAGATGAGATTGGATTTATACCCCACCCTTCACTTGGAGTCTCAGAGCAGCTTACAAACTCCTTTCCCTTCCCCTCCCCACAGCAGACACCCTGTGAGGTGGGTGGGGCTGAGAGAACTCTGACACAAACTGCTCTTTTTCAAGGACAGCTGTGCCAGAGCTTGTGACTGACCCAAGGTCACATCAGCAGGCGCAAGTGGAGGAGTGGGGAATCAAACCCGGTTCTCCCAGATTAGAGTCCGTGCACTTAACCATTACACCAAACTGGCTCTCCAGAAGCCAGGCAGAGGCTTCCACCTTTTTGCTCCACAATCTGCAGATGCAAAGATCACAGGGTTTTCCCCTTGTCCCCGTACCCCACAGCTGTCCTTTCCAACCCTGTGAAAATTTATTCCCAAGCTCATGGGACTCACGTGATCTAATAGTCACTTGGGTCAGGAGGATTCAGTGAGGAAAAAGGAAGGGGGTGAAATCAGTGCAGCTCTGCTAATGGAAAAGAGGAGAGGGTGATTTCCCCCTTTCTCCTTCCCTGGGCAGCCTCGGGACTCCCGTGGCTAATAGACCACATGGGTCCCACAATCCTGGGAATAATCTTTCCTGGAGTTGGGAAAGATTATTGGGAGGACATGAACATGAGAATGATTTGCAGCCATCCGTGCCTTCCGCTGATGGATTACGGGATCCAATCCAGTTACTGGTATTCAGATTAATACTACCACTGATCGTGAGAATCCCATTCATCTATCACAGCTAATAGCTGTTGATCGACCTCTTCTCTGTCAATCTGTCTTACTCTTCTAAAGCAATTTGCGTAAGGGGCCACTACTACACTTTCTCACAACAAATTCCACAAGTTAATTACGGTTTGTGTGAAACAGTTTCTTTTGTCTACTCTGAATCTACCGTTAATCGGTTTTCATTGGGTAACTCCACATCCTAGCGTTCAGAGGGAAAGGAAACTTCTCTCTGTTCACTTCCTCCATACCAATAATTATTTCATAAACCCCACAGATTTTTTATTGAAAACCTTAAAAGCCTTCAGTACTTTAGTCTTTACTCACAGGTAACTTTTTTCTAATCTCTTCATTGTTTTGGTTGCCCTATTTTGACCTTTCTAGCTCTATGATATCTTTTTAGAGTTGGGGTGGCCAGTCTTGTGCACAGTATTCCATATGCAGGAATACCTCAGATTTATATAAAGGCATCAGTATACAGACTGTGTTATTTCAGGTCCATTCCTAGCAATTCCTAACATGGAATTTGCCTTTGTTCCACTGCTGCTGTGATCTGAATTGACATTTCATGACCCTAGACCACTGGAAGAAGACTGTGCTGGAGTTGGACTCTGTCACTAGATCTTAGTAAGTCCTTATGAAAATTAGAAGAAGAAGAAGAGAAGAAGAGATTGGATTTATACCTCACCCTTCACTACCCAAAGGTGTCTCAGAGCGGCTGACAAACTCCTTTCCCTTCCCCTCCCCACAACAGACACCCTGTGAGGTAGATGGGGCTGAGAGAGCTCTGACAGAAACTGCTCTTTTTCAGGAACAGCTCTTATCAGAACTACTGCTTGCCCAAGGTCATCCAGCCAGGTGCAAGTGGAGGAGTGGGGAATCAAACCCGGTTCTCCCAGATTAGAGTCCGTGCATTTAACCACTACACCAAACTGGCTCTCACAAATTAGCTGCCAATGAATCAAAAGCTTAAAATCTAAAACAAGTTCACCATAGTGAATCTGTTCTTCTTAAAGAACAAATTCATATTATTGTACTGAATCCATCTGTTGAAGCTTTCTGTTTTAGGACCTGGCAGAGGTCATTATTGCTTATCAAAAGGAAACTTTGTGTAAACTATGTACAACTCTCCCTGAAATAGCTGCACGTAATACCGTGGTATTTCTCCATCATAAATTGGTTAGAGATGGTATCTTAACTGAAACAGTTCTCAGTAATAGTAATGTAGTGCATTCTACATATCCTGCATCAGCTACACTAGCTCAGTGTCCATCGTATTTATTGCTGTCTTCGTAAAAATAGCATGAACTGATGTAAAAACCATCCAGTTTCATATGTATTTTTTATTTGTTCAAAGTATGAAGGAAAAATGAAGATGACACAGATAAGACATTTGCACAATAACAATATATGTTGCTGTGGGAAAAACTAGCACTGAGTTTTTGTCCTTTACCAAGAACTGGGTTTTGTCCAGTTTCAATGGCTGCAACATCCATTCAGATTTTTTTTGTAGGATCAGTCAGGTAAATATGAATTGATCTAGTATTGACAAGTCTCTTGCAACAGATCTCCCTTGTATCACCTGTCATAAATATAGAAATCCAAGGATTTCTATGTGCGGTTGCCAACAGAAGTCTAAGGGATATCTTCACTCCAAAAATTATGATGGCTGTCCTTTATTTCAGAATTTTTCCATTCCATGGAATGTTACAGAACAGATGCCCAGGTGGTATCCTGCTCCTGTTCAGACACCTGTCTTTGTATGACTGAAGATCACACTTAAGTTGGGAATTCCAGTTCACTGAAGTCAACATGAGTTGTTCATTGATTTTAAAGGAACTGACAAAGACTGCATTCTGCTAGAACGAGGGAATCATAACAAGGGAATCTATTAACACCCATTGTAATCATCTATTTCTTTTCACTGTCAGTTCTGCGGCTTCCAATATTCACAGTTCCTAAATTATAGTTATATTAACAAAAGGGCCCGAGCAATGGAACTATTTCTTGATGCCTTCTAAACTGAAGGAGCTGCACAAACGTGATTCTTTCTGATCCACTGTTACATCTAGGCAACGGGGGTAATAAAATTTGAATGCCCTGACATTGGAGTGGGACAATGGTGATAGGGAGGGAAAGGCAAATACCTGTAAAGCCTTGATTAGTTTTAATGAGGCATAACAAACAAAATCACTGTAAAGATTTTTTTGGACCTTGGAGGAGCTGGCCAAAAGCTGTATGTATAGGAAGTGAAGATCTGTTAAAGTCTCCTACCTTGGTGGTATGTTAGGGTGATCACTAGCACTGGTATCCATAGTGGTATCCATGCCGTCCTGCCTGTTCCCATCTTGGCTGGAGTTCGGCAGCATGTACCAAGCGACAGGCGTCTAAGGTAAGGAGGCACCTGTCTTTTGATGACTCTTATATAGCAGAAGTGTAGACTTTGGCTCAGTTCCCAGATTGTTTCACAAGTTTCTCAAGAGGTGGGGCTTCAGAGATTTTAGCAGGTGCTCAGGTAAACAGATGATGCTCTTTTACTCTACTAGGGCTTGGCCAAATGT